GGGGGGGGTTTGACGTCTGTTAGTAACCTAAAGCACTCCGTTCTTCAACCACTTACAGAGCATCTGTATGCCTCTCTGATCAAATGACACCATGTAACCTAATCTCAAGGCGCTGTCTTGTTTCTCCACGATATGCATGGAAGTGTCATCCAAGAGCTCACATAGATAATCAAACACCATGTACAAGGGAAGATGAAAGTATTGTTTGTAACGTATTTCATTACTTGGTCTGGGCTATGACATCTCTAGCCATAGCCTGATCCTTAAAAATGTAGAAGATAGTAGAATCGAAAATAACCAGTGAATACAAGAGATAGCCTCAACACCAAAACAAATTTCAATAAGCCTCCAAGTAAACGCCCTAACACCATGGGTAATGCCGTGGTTGTGTGGTAACAACTCAATCATGCAGAAATGTCATCCCAGAAGTCTTTTCCCGCCCTGGCTCTCAATAATCATACAGACCATTACACCATCACACCTTCAGTAAACCTCTTTTTCCTGTATATTTTCCCGAAAAGGATCTCGTGCCTGAGTCCTTGATGCGGCGGCGTCGAGATGACGACTGGGCGCAGCTACTGGCTGCGGTTCCTTTCTTTTTCCCCCCAGCTCCGCTTTTTTGTATCGTAGATGCGAATGTGTGTGGACAGATATGTAAGTGGCTGCTATGTGTATGTCCCAAATGAACAAGAGGAAGCGGGTCGAGCGCCAAATGTCTCAAATGTGTAGCGTCCTCGACTCTTCTCTTTTCTCTCCAGTGGCAACTGGAGGTGTCCTCGAAGCAAGGTACCCGGCCGAGATGGGCCACAATACAAGCTCAATAGTCCGAGCCGTGCTTCTCGGCAGTCTTGGACTTGGAAGGTGCTCGTCGCTTCCTGCTTCGCTCCTCTTGCTCAATAATTGGGACCGCAGCAGGAATGAACTCAACGCCACGGTTGCGGCTGTTGGGTCGTGCGTGTAACTTGCGGTGGTTGTTGAGATTGTCTTGACGGTTGAACTGGTCCTTTCCACAGAACTCGCAGGAGAAACGATTGGGTCCTTCCCCGTGATAACTGCTACAAGTTAGCTACTGTAATAAGATATTGGTGGTTCCAATAAAACTTACGTTTGCTTGTGACGCTTAAGATGCTCATTTCGTCGGAAGGCCTTGTGGCAGCCAGGATAGTCGCACTTGCACATAGCTCTTCGGACAACGTCAACTTGTGAAGGATCAGGCTTGACAGATCGCTTCCTTGATGATCGAATCTGGGCTCGCTGCAGCTCATTGGTCTTTTGCTGAATGTCGTGTACCATCTTTCTCTGAGCTCGTATACGGTTGGGCGAGTTGATCTCATGCAGGGGGTATCCGAGAGGAGACTGGGAGTGTCGGTCAAAGTCAAAGGGCTCAGAGTCACTGAAAAGCTGTCGGCTGGGGAAAGAGAAGATTGGGCTGTCGTTGGCACATGACCAAGACGAGCCGGTCTCAGCAGCCTCGGATCCAGAGAGACTTTGGGTTGGTGTCATCATGAAAGATGTAGCTCCGATAGAGGCCTCGGGCGAGTAGCCATACACGCCAAAAGAGTTTGATGGTGTCAATGATCCCATTGATCCATGGTGAGCCATGTTCATATCAATCATCTGGTCATATTCGAAACCAAGTTGCTCCCGCTTCATGGGAGTGTTGGGGAGGGTGTCAGGGAATGACATGTGCTCAGGTTCAGACTTGATAGGACCAAACATGTACTTTCCCATTGCTGAAGAGGGAGGTGTCAACTCAGCTCGATGAGAGGCTGAGCTGTAAGGGCCGTCAAATTCCATGTTGCCGAATTCATGGGGAGTTGAGCGTCGTGATGTAGGAGTGAAAGGGTCGTAAGCTGATGAGGCGGAAGAGAAGCTTGTTGTGGTCGAGGGGCATGACATGGGCTGGCTGCACAGGCTAAAGCTGTCGTCCATGTCGAACCGAAACTCCGACTCGTACTGCATCTTGGTAACAAGAGGTTGTGGTGAAAAGAGTCAAAGAGGGGAATATTGTTTGAGGATGTATGTGAATATGTCTTGAGTTGAAGAAGGGTGAAGGTGTTCAACGTTCGTTTCAAGGGTTGAAGAGAACAATTAAGAATTCGAGTGAGCTCAATTGTCTGATGAATCTGAACGGGAATGTTTTTTCGAATTCGAGGACGGACGCCCTTGAAGATATAGACATGAGGTGGAAGATGGAATGGGGTACACTGCTTCGACTTACGGACCTGAGACATACAAGACTGCAAGCTCGACCATCCGTAGATCCCTGATCACAGCCGGTGCAGCTAGTAAGGGACCCGCGAGACAGTACTATGATCCAGTACTCCCAGGGCAAGAATGCTAGGCAGGGTCGACAGTCTTGGTTCAACTCCGATCGAGATCTTTGTTTGAACAGGTAGGGCGGGAGAGGCGTGATCCACCGTAGACGAGTGGGTTTATTGCTCGCATAGAGAGAAGCAATGTTTTGGATGAGGTTGTGTCAGTTGTGATAAACCGTCCCTGAGTTTGTTTCGCCGGGACCCTCAACGCCCTCGGCTGGACCAGACTAGCTATCAACTAGTTATACAACAAGAGAACTGGGAAAGGGACCTATGACAGGCTTGGCACTTGGTCCGAGCAAGCTTCTCTAGGCACTTGACCAACGCTCAAGCCAACCCTCGGCGTAGCATAGACTTGGAAAATAGGAACAAAGTACTTTGCAAGAACAAAGGTGTAGAGTGATGGTAGTCGACTTGACTAAGCGTTGAGGTATAGATCAGGGGGGGTGTGCCCAGACCACGTCCCTGACTTCGGGGTGGTTCCTCGCTTGGCTTGGAACCACCCCTCGATAATTAATTACCCCTGCTGCCCTGAAGGCCTGAACCATGCTGCGGATCTTGCCAGTAACAGAAGTAGCCTTTGATGCGTAGACCCCAGCACTGAAGGATAAAAAGACTCGCAGTAAAAAGAGGTGACAGGATCGGTCCCTGCATGAGTGAACGAACATAACCCCAGGGGTGAACGATTGGAACTGACGCCAGCCCTCCATTTCGTACATCCGCGCATCAGCCACTAGGCCTGTCAGGATGTTGAACACGCCCGTCCCATACTTAGAAAACTAAAGAGTCGAGTGTAAAGGACTGTGTGGGCGCCCCAGACTTGCTGTAAGTCTCCTCATTCACTAGCTTACTTGCCTCCAACTGCAATGGATAGGTCTTTGAGGAATGACCAAGGCCTGGAATGGGACGAGTGATATCCCCGCTCAGAAAGACCTCGAAGTGAGACAGGTCTATTCCTGCTGAGGGACTGCAAAGTTACATGTTCCTGAGTGTGCCTGGTTATGTAACTTTATGGGAGAAACATGACCCATCCAATGGTCTTTTGCTGCTCCATATTGGACTCCCTTGGACCGGAGGCAAGAGGCTGCGATAGTGCGGTGTCTCCCAACAGGTGAAGATGTGGAGTTTTGGAAGGTCGACCGGGCCAGAGAGTAATTTGGCTTTGCCCAAGAAAAGCAATACATGGTGCAGGTCTCACTCAAAACGAAAGGGACCTGCGGCTGTTCCTGGCGGCGCATTATCAATGAAGAGATAATGATCTGGTAGGTTCCCATCCGAACACATAAGAACAGTCTCCTGTTCCTCCGCAGATCGGCATGGACCCTGATCCGAAATGGCGTCTGACAGCGTTGGGAGCGAACTGCAGGTGAAAGTCTTTGAAGGGGCCATATCCTGATGTCATTGGATGACGAGCTGGCTACCCGCCCTTTGTCAGCGACGCAACCTTTGCGCTCGAAAACGCACTGGGGCGACCAGGTTCTCGTGCGCCTTGGACAAGGATGCTGTCGGCATTTGTATGTCAGGAAGCCGAAGGTTGAGTAGAGAGCAAGGAGGACAGTACAGTATGACACTAAACAGATACTAAATTCATGGATGTGATAGAAACGAGGTTTTTCCGATCGTGTTGCGGGACCAGATCAATGGGCAAGGTGGATAGAGAAAATAAAGATTAGGTTCACTGACAGTTGAAAGCGCCAGTCGACCCGGTTTAGACCGCTGCAGGCTTCGTCTATCGTAATAGGTTGCCTTGTCATATTGAAGGCCTATTGTAACTGCGCACGGTGCCCATTATGACAGCACAGTACAAAGCATCGGAACGCTTGACACTGGCTCGAGTCCGCATTGTGCTGTGCTGCAAGTACCATAAGAACTCATGAAATTGAACCCGCCCCGTGGGTCCAAACTACCAAAACGCACTATAGCTATTGGCTAGCTTGGGTTTAACACGGCTATAAAGCTTAAAAGTCGGTGTTCAATCTTTGAATCCAAAGGGAGCTGCAGTAGGCTTGTATAAGGTATCCATAGGGCGGGTTCAATTTCGTGAGTTCCTATGGTAGTAATATCAGAGGATGAGGACTCTGGGACCGACCGAAAGACAGATAGCGCTGTAATGGAGCCGCATTGTGTTGAGATCCGCACTCGGTGCTCTATGTTGAAGGAGTTGTGGTCAGGCCAATAGGGTCAATTACCCTCGAATTCATCATTTATTTTGTGCTCATGTTTGCCAATATCTCCAACTTTGTTCAGCATCCATATTGGAAATCCGAAGGAGGGGCTATCGTCTCGGATCTTGGCTCATTAAGCGATGTGCTCCCTGGGAACACGAACGCGGTCGCGTACTGTGATAAGGGTGACTGAAGTCATAACAAAGGGACAGCTGGGCACACTACGTTAGTGGATTGCGTGAGTGCCTGGTATAGACACTAACATGGAAGGGGCTCGGGACGGTAGTGCGGCCGCTAGATAAGAGTTCTGATAATGTCGTACATCTGCGAATGGCAGAACTGCATCATCTGATTTAGTTGTCAGTCTCGAATGACCCTGTACTGTCTTTCGTGTTTAGTGCCGGGCGATCTTCCGGGGAGCGACCCAGCGATCCTCAAGAAATCTAGGAACGGAGACAGGGGACAGGGGTCTAAAGCCAGGGAGAGGCGTTCGTAGATCTAAAGCTGGACGGAGTGCACTGTAGAATGCGCTATCGGACGGTATGGGTTTTCACGCCCCCGTCCTGGCCGCCGGTGATGGCTGGTAAGACAGCTGAAATGGGGCGGGCAGGGTTTTCTTGGTGATGTATCATTTTGCTTTTCGGACAGAGCAATGTGCCAGTACTGTAGCTGAAGCTGGAACAGGACTTGACTAACGTCAGATGGGTCTTGACGCGATACTGTACGTGATGCCTACGACTGGAGTTAGATGCCTGAGGACAACTTGCCTCCACTACTGTATCATGCCTGCCCTCACTTTCAGAGCTGTGGGCAGTCACAGGTGGAGGTTAACCGTAGGCCGCCATTTAATATCTTGGCCTTAGCAGGTAGATACTGAGTTTCATTTGAGACAATGTGTGTTCACCAGTATTATCCATCCACGCAGCTCAGATTATAACATCTTTTGGGGACAATTAGCACATGCAGCCCCTGTCCAAATTTGGCAATATCTCATTTACTTCATGGTATAGAGCCATATCAGCGCAATCCAACTGCATACTCAACATCTGCAGTTCCTCATAGTGGCATAAGCCGTGAACACCTCATCCAGCCCAGGGCTGAAATGGGTTCCTCTCTGCTGGGCCCAGATTGCTTCTCGTCATATCCACTTCCCGTGCCTAGCCTCCATCTCAACTCAGAGCTGTATAGTAAATTGATTACATACTATAACAGTAAATGTAGTAAGTACAGTACAGTACTCATACCAGGTCATGCCCTGCTCCTGCTCCTGCTCCTACTCAGTGACTCAAGGTTCCAGGTCCATGCCTTGCAACAGCTTTGTCCCGACCCAGGTCGGGTGAATGCTTTCTTCTGGCAGGACTGGCTGTGATGCGGCCTGCTTCTACAGCGCCGTTGATGCCGCTCACCTCAGTGCAGTTATTACACGCATACGAGTTACCCGATGGATGGAATAAGTGCACATGCCAAGGGCTTAGTATATGTGATATGCTGATCACACTTCAGCTGCGTAGGCTACTCTCTCCTGTCATTGTGACCCCCGGAACAGATCTCTTGCCGGATATCTCTCTCATATCTTGTGCTCTCATTATGACATCATAGACTTACAACCTCTCTATCTACAGTGTAGCACAGTCTCACCAGAGCTGCGGCCTCTCATTAACGGGGTTACTCGTCCAATCAGAGGCTGGGTCTCAAATCAAGCGCCCTTAATCCACAGCACCTATCTAATTCCTGTGCCGGATTTAGGAGACCCGGAATATGACCCGTCATATTCTGACAGGCCTGCCTACGAATACTGTACTCACAGCACCACTGCTCACTATGCAATGAATACTCGCTCACTCAATTCAACTCCACAGTGCCAAGGATGGTCTAATCAGACAAAAGTGACCTCCCCACAAGCGTTTTTGCTTTTTATTAACCTCCAATCTGCGGCGCACTTCCGTGGATTGACAGCAGGACTGTCTGCTTGGTAATTAATGCCCAGGCTAAATTGGGAGATTTTCCAAGCCCAATTGGTAGAGAACAGCCCCTAGGCTGTCCCCCAACCCAACGCTGTCAAACTGACTTTGGGCTATTATCATGGCTCAAACATACCTATCCCTTTACCCCATTTCGAGCAATCGGTGTCTCGTCTATTGCCAATTCAGTCTTTTCTCCCTCTATACAAAACTCGTACTATGCACTATTTCTCCCTCTCCCTTGGTATTACTCAGTTTATCTGGTTAGGTGTCGTACCATTGCAACAGCTCACCACTCACACTACTGTACCTCAAGCCAGAAGCAGGTTAAAGCTGACGACTTAGTGACAGTCGATAGAAATCACTAGTTGCGATTCCCGCTGTGGCTTCTCTTTGCCCAGCAGTAGACAGGTATGTCAGACAGACAAGATTGCGGCAAATCAATTGAAGTGGTGTCTGCAAGGCAGTCCCAGCGACTATCTTGCCGGAATTGAATTACAGTATGCATAGATCTAATCATCGATACTGTGCTATCTCCGTTGCCGGCGGCAGATTGAAGGATTTGGCAGCGGAACCCTTGTTTGTTTCTCTCCATAATGAAGGCTCTGGGCTCTGGGGCTCAGCCGGGGTCTACGGCTTCTGGCCCAGCTCCAGGGCTGAGATCCAGTGCTCTTAGCTCCCGCCTATATACCTAGATTAATGAATATTTTTGGTCTGCCTTGCTCTTCACACTGAGAACTAGGGATGTCGTTGGAGTCCACTTCAGTTACTGTATTAGTTCGTTCCATCATAACTTGGGTTCTATTCTTGCGGCCCACCTACCTCGGGCACAAGTCCATTCTGTGTCATACCAAGTCAGTTCCAGGCCCGCCGATGCAGACTCTCGACTCTGCTGTCATTGAAGCAACTTGAGATCGCCGATGTGCTCTTCTTTTGGAGATGGAAATGACATCTGGCAGTTTTGGGGTCCCCCAAAGATCGGGGTTACACTGCAGCCGCTGTTACATCCGTCGTGAATCTCCCGTCAGAGAGGATATGATCACCAACTGGGAATAGTCAGGGGTCCATGTCATGGAATTACTGTACTTGCACTTTCCGGAGGCTTGATTATGTGCGTGTTCGATCAAGCAGCCTTCCGAAACCTGGGCTCACGTCATTGTCGTGCAGTAATGTTTCTATCTGCTGCATGGTTAGGGAACACAAGGACTGAGACTGTACACCACGGCTTACGGAGGTTCTCGCCCGTGACACAAAACTTGACCGTTTGGGCAATATATCGCCTGTCATGAATTGTGTACATGCTGTAGTCGAAGTCGTCCGATATCCCACAGGGGTCCAAAGAGCCGCGCATTCTAGGGATACTAGCCACGCTGAGGCTATTCTCTTGGATCGACGATCGGCGATGACGATCGCCTCTCTATATATGTTAGAGTTTTTTTTTGTAAGGGCGCGAAACAACACTGTCACGTTTCCTCATTCGGACGATATAGCCGGACGGTGTGGAAACTGCTATATTGATGAACTTTTGCTTTGCATTGATCAAAGTTGCAGTGACATTTGCAGTTCAATAGCATCGGAATGATGGCTTAAAACGACCGTTTCAACCGTTGGTAGTGGCATTGCTTGACATGCGTCGGGCCGGCAGCTAATGGCTGATATAAACTGTAAAAGAAGGCCCTGACGATCTGCCCGCTACGTAGTAGGTTACCGGGCAATTAACCGCCCGTGAACTAACAGCCTAGGTGAGGGGACGGGTAAAGTATTTCCCACCCGACTTAGTGGCCCTTGAGATGAACATACAGCCCAGTATTCCAGGGTTTCGAAGAGTCAGAACCCATTGACACATCTCGGGCACCATCACTGAGCCCTGTGACCGAACGCTGGGATATTTGCCGCGGCATTACGGAAATCCCTCAGTATGAATTAAGGACAAGAGAAGAGCTATTTGAACTCTATTTCTTGGCATGTAATCTGTATACAATCAGCATTCTAGAACGCCGTGTCTTGCATTCCGTTACAAATACGAGCTTCCTAGCAGTGGCTGTAGGGTAAGTCCGATGAATTCGGTATACACGGATGTTATGATGAACTGTACCTAGGTTCCCCGATGTGAGTGAATATGTACCAGTAGAGAATATTAAACTCCTGTATATTGCAGGTAAAAACTCACGTGACTATTCAATTCTCATTCAAGTCACTATTCCAGTGCGTATATGCTACGTTGTCGTTGAGATGAAAGATGCTGGTGTGATTACCTAGAGTCAATCTAGAGCCGAATAAGTGTATACAAATTTGATGTTAGAGCTCGAACTAGAATAAGAGAACTTAGCCTGAGTATCAAGTCTTGGTATGAACCAACTAGCCACCCGCAAGACGGGCCGTACAACGATCATCTAGTCTTTTGTCAATGCATAATAATGCCCTTATGGGGAATCGCAATGCCGTTTCACGAATCTGCCATGAATTAGTTCCTGCCATCGCTTTTCTCTCTTCTTAGTTTTTGTTCGCGTGTTTCAAGGTTGAAGGCCTCTACCAAGAGTCTAGACCTTACTATCTATTGACTTATCAACTAAAGTAGTCAAATCCCGAAGCCACCATCGAGATGCTGTCAAATATCTCGGCAAAAACTTCAAAGATGGCTTCAGAGGCTGGAATAATGCAAGTCAAATGCCGTAGAGTTATCACAGTGAGAATGCAGCGGTTCGGTTAACGAGTCAGCTGCTGGAAAGCCGTGGTGCAGGGATGGTAAAGTCCATATGGGATTCTCTAGAACTAAGAAAACCACTATATCATCAAAGCGCAAAGACTTGCTATTGAAACGCCCTCTATGGCCTGACCATAGTTACAGTGCATTAGTTCAGTTCAGTTCAGTTCAGTTCAGTGACGCCCTCGTCAAGTATGTTGTTAAACATTAACGTCCAGGAGGGGGTGTTGATGAACTCAAGCATCCTAGAGTTTTAGGTAACAACATTCGAAAAGAATGAATTGTGCAGTTTGAAGTCATGGCTGAATATTGTGGTCGCAAAGGCAAGGGGGGCTGGCTACTAGTTCGACAGGTATTCGTAATGGAGGTTCGGCCCGTAGCTGTTACTATCGTGGGTCTCGCTTCAGCTATTACTCTGAAGCGAGCTTCAACACAGACAGGGATTGGGACTTTTGTACATATTCGGCCTCGCAGTGTCTAATACCTTCTCGGTAGAATAGATCCTGAACCTGCCCCTCGTTATAATATAGAAATTCCGTCACATGTCTCTACATCGAATGTTACCAAGAGAGCTGATCTCAAGAATACTACCCAATGATGGGAGCAAAAGAGGCAATGTTTTAGACCTTTCACTCTCGTGTAGGACTTGGCAGTGGGACTTCCTACTTATCACTATTTCTGACTCATATTGATGCCTTTGGCCTTGATACATTCGAGTCAGAGCTACTGAATCTGGGCGCAGCGTTCCGTATATCCTCAAGGATATCATATTGTTAAGCATGTGATCACAGTTATCATGTCCAAGCTGAATGCAGGGCAAATTGTCTTGAGGCAAGATTCCTTGCTATAAACTCTATTTTACGATTCTTCATTTTTAGTTACACCTCGTTAGTCCATCACTGCTTGTTCGGCTTCAGCGTCCATGTCCTGAAGCACCTCATCCATCTCAGCTTGTGTGGCCTCCAGACCCTCAGAGCTCATGAGCTTATTGTTCTTGTCGTCAGCTGTACAGGGATTACTGGTTAGCGTACTGATAGACATGATGATCGGGGAAGCGGAATAACTTACTCTTCGCTTCAACGAGAAGATTCTCTTGGACTTCGCAATCAGTTAGAACGGATCCATCTCCAATGACGGCCCTCCTTCCAATGATGCAACGCGTCAGCTTGCAGGCTTTGCCGACAACTACACCTTCCATCAGTAGACATTGAGAAAGCTTAGCACCCTCGTTGATCTGCGAACCAGCGCCGATCACAGTCTCCTTGATAGATGTCTTTTCCTCGACTGTCACATTTTCAGCAATGAGACTGTCTTTTTGGGTAATAGTAGTACGAGGCTTGACACCTTCGGGATAAGCAATCTTCTTCGCGTGAACGTAAGGCGACGTAGACTCCCCACCAGTCTCCTCAAGCGATGGGAGCTTAGCTAGTTGGAGAGAAATAGCAAGCAAGAGTTGTGCAGTATCTACACGTCGGATTAAGGGCGCAGATTCCCCACCAGGGTGGACGTAAGCAACAATCGGTGGCACTTCAAACGAGTTCGCCTTTTTGCTAACCGAGCTAGATTTGTCATCGACCGTAATGCTTGGTGTCTGTGTTGCGCTCTCGTCGTGGGAGACTGGGTTTCCTAAGCTGGGCTTGTTGTTTGGACTGGAATCTCTGGGAGACGATGATGAACCTTCATCATCTTCTGGCTCTTCAACCCGACCCTGACTACACGCGCTTTCCAGGTTGAGCTTCTCAGCGAGACCTGTCTGCCAGCCGGCCTTTGCCCACCATCCGATAACATCTTCGCCGATGCTCTCCAAGCGATCGTTGTCCTTGATAAAATCGAGAACCCATCGGGGGAAGATGTAGATGTGGGCATCGCGGTGTGTGGTGAACATTCGTACGCGAGAATGATTGCGCAACAAACCGTGGCGGACTGGAAGCGAGTTCCTCTCTCCTGTCAGATCCTTCAAAGAGTCTGTGGGCATGGAGTAGACGAGCTTGGATAGGTTTGAGAAGAGTGATCCCCTGGGTGGCGTGACTGGAGATGAGGGCAGGGGAGTTGTTGCAATGAAGTCGGTCTCCTCCTTCTTGACGGGAGCAACAGCCTTTGTGTCATACCAGACACCAAGAGCTCCGCTGTGAACAGATCGATAGCCATTGGAGAGCCTGGCAGTTCCCAACATGTCTGTTAGGCTAGCTGACTTGACCATCCATGACTGAAGAAGCTTGTCTCCCCCAAGCTCGCAAACCAAGTCACAAGGCAGGACTACAAAGTCACCGGTGATAATCGACCTGACCTCAGGTAGTCGCAAGATCTCGGCGGTGCCTGTGTTCTGATCAAGGTCTGCCGGTGAGAGGATGTCAGGTCGTGGCAGGGGTAGAGCAGTCAGGTGAGGGTTGGTGTTAAGAGCCGTAGAGATAGTTGCAGAAGCAGTCGGTGGGCAAATGAGATTTATGTCTAATAGTTGTGAGTTTCGAGTTGTCGGTCAGTTGAGAAGAAAGGAGGCTGCTTGTTCCCATCCAGTTTTCAGATGAGTCAAACACCACAATCCTGCTCTACTTACCTGTGATGCCAGTTCGGTAGCAAAAGTCGAGCGCATACCAGACCATAGGTCGGTTAGCAATAGGTAGAAGGGCCTTCGGACTCTCATCAGGGTTTGAGGTGAATGTCGGGAAGGACGAGCCAGGCCCGCAAAGAATGAGGGCTTGAAGCCCAGTTGAAGGCATCGAGACAGCGTGGGGCATATCGCCGAAGAATCCTCTGTTGAGTGATGACAATCAAGCCGATGGTTTTGAAAGAAATCCCGGGATCTTGTAGGCAAGGTGTCGTGAGTATAGTGAGCTTTTCGGTCTGTTTAATCGAACGCGAAAGGCTGTTGTTGGGATGTTCGCAGTCGGTATGAAGTGAAGAGTCACTCAATGCATTGCCAAGACATCAAAAATGTACGTACGTGGGGTGGTGTCCCTCATGTGGCTAGTGAGCTGAGCACCGCCACAGACATCAGCCTTGCTTCACGTGGTCGGCCAGTCCCCGACCTCGGTACGGATTATTGGATAGTCCCCCCGCAATCGAGCCCCTGAAGCTGAGCTCTTTGTCGGCCCTCGGGCTGCCCGCTGACCCGTTGTTGCTGGGGTAGATGGCCTCAGCTTGCAGCTTACTCCACTGTGTTATTGAAGCTGATAGTAACACCAACCACCGCGTATCTCGAATAATCGCCTCGAGCCTCGCTACATTAAACGGTGCATTTTGACGCAATCGGTTCAGGACAGTGCATTGTCATAGCTTTATCAGCACAAAAAGGCCCCTTGCGCCTTCTGCCATTGGCATTATTTCCTCCACCTAGCAATGCGACAGCGCGCTGCTTAAATGTCGCCCGATCATGGATCGTCGCGGTCGCGACGAGGAGTCTGGAGTCACTGGGTTCCTCTCGCAGTTACACTTACAGTTGCGACTGTAGGCGTCGCTGCCTGGGTATGGAGCCAGCGTAAGGACGGAGATGAGGAGGACGACCGCGGTCTTGATTATGGGCATCAACCCCGGGGAGGCGACAATCAACCATACGGTACCCGCGATGTCGGCTCGCGTGATATGCAAGCATCAGAGAAACCACCACGACCTGATGATCAAAGCCACGGAATTGCGCATGCGGACGAAGGAGCAAACAGTGGAGGCTGGGGTTCGCGCGTGTCTGGTGCTCTGCGACGAACACCGAGCCCGCAGCAGTTCTTCGATTCGACAGGTAAGACTGTGGCGGCTGGTGTCGCAGCTGCGAGTGCAGCTATGGGCAAGGCTTTAGCTTCCATTCGCGAGGAGGACAAGAGCCCCTTAGACGATACCAATCCCTGGCAAGAGGAAGAAGATGCTAAGAATGAACGAGCGCCCGCCGATACGTCTTCGCCACTCGCCGGCGGCAGTAGACGACGCAAGACGGTTGCGATTGTGGTATCCGCCGAGACAGGCGCCGTGCCTGAAGAGGAGGATGGCTTTCACGAGCACGCTGTAAGCAGACAAGGCAATGCCTATGTTCCTCCCACTGACGTACAGCAGTCTATACTCTCCCACATCCCCCGACACATCGACCATTCCAAGGTCAAGCTATTTGTTCTGATCTACGCCCCTGGTTTGAAGGAACCCACCTTGGATAGTGCTAATAGTAACCTTCCGCCAACGTCGCTGAGCTCTTCATTTTCTAACATTGGACACGATCAAGTTCAAACTCCCGCCGAAGAATCGAAGAACCAGCTGTATGCTTTTCGTGCTTTGGAATCACAGTATATGCTGACCAGTCTTAGCGAATCCGCAAGCCCTGCCTACAACTCAATCTATTCGCAGGCCCTGGGCTTGGTTGAGAAGGAAACCATGGTTCTCCCTTTTACGACACCTAATGGCCATGTTCATATCTTGCGACACCTTCAACCAGAAGTTATCTATCTCCAGAAGGCTCTTTCTGGTCAAGATGGCAGTATCATCACGACCCTTCAGACCTGGCTTCGTCATGACGTCATCTTGGTTGTTGGCGCAGATGGTGGTTCTGGTGGTTTAGCAGATAGCGAATCCGAGGCTGAGAGATCCAGTAATAAGAAGGAGTGGTGGCAGCGACCCGAAAGAGTTGGAAGAGGACGTGGAGTTGTGGTCGTTGATAGTAACAGGCTAAATGATGATTGGGCGCGTCGAGTCCAGGGACGTGAGTAAGGCCAAACGCGTCTTGCGATATAGCACGAGATACCATGGACGTTTCTTTTTCGATTTAAAGTATATGTGTGAGGATTTTTATAGCACAAATGCACGTATTATTCAATTAAGTTTTAAGTTTACTTTCCATTTAAATCATTTCCCTCTGATATCAACGTTCCCTCGTTTATTTTGCTTTTGTTCTTTGTCCCCTTGTCCCTTGACCTGGAGGCTCTAGTACACGTGACCCAAACTCTTCCGTAATCCAACCGACCTCATCCCAGGGAAACCACCAGTGATACGGCGACCAGGTGTACAACATCATCGGAATAATATCCGACTTTCCATACCACGAAACGGAATTCGATGAATACAGTGGACAATACTACTTTACAAGCTGTCCGTATGATCTGTATTCGCTTTATTTGAATTGCGCTTCTTCGGAAGACTCGCGTTACCTTCCCGCGATCACCACGACCAACTCCGCATCACGCGGACGACGACGTGCGACGACCCCGATTCATTCGAAAACACCTCTCGGACTCGGCATTGTGCCGCTACAAGTGGTTCATTCATGTTTCCGCATTGAAAAACCACCAAATCAACGTTAAACTGATAAAGCGGCCGATATACCGTCATAATCGCTAGCCCCCGCGGCGCAGCGCGACTTCGTCACGATGGCGCCAGTTGGACCCATCGTCCAGCAAAATGTCGCCAACAAAGTGAAGCGCCCCATCCCTCCTGGCATCCAGACGAACGGCGCGACAACACCATCGAAATCATCACCATCACCGTTAATGTCCGCCAAGAAACCGCCGCCAAGTGCGAAGCAGCCGCCACATTCGGCCAGCGACAGGGCCATCACGGCATCATCCGTTCGACCTGTCAACCGAGCTCGACGAGAAACAGCATCGCAACTACAAGGTCGGCATTCTAGGAACAGTGCCGGCCTGCGATCAGCGTCTATGGCGGCGGATCAAATGGCCCACGATACGGAACCTCGACCCTATGGTACGTTTATACCTTGGCATGTTATTTGTGGTTTACGCGCTAACAACTGTGAAGTGGTCACAGACCAATACATCTTGAGCAAGTTCGCTGGCCGACCTCCGTCTTTAATCGTACATCTGCATCCCAACCATTTCCGATTCGATAGCCAAGATGGCATGTTTCCATACAAGTCACCCATGAAGATTTTCGTCGACCACGTCAAAGCCCGCACAGTCCCTCATGATCTTCTTTCCTGGTTTAACGATGCGGGTGTGTCGTTTTACGATGGATGCCTTATCGTTCAACTTCACGATCACAAATCTCTTACCCAAGCTAAAGATGTTACTAAGCCTGCTTCAACCAAGGGTTCCACGGTGGCATCGTCGATTCATAACTATAACCAATGGCTAACTCCCTCCCCGAATGTCCCTTTCCCTCAAGAAGGGTCGCCGAATATAGACGGGAAGCCAAAGCCAGGTAATGCTGCAGAAAAGGAAGAATCTCCAATGCCAGCCCCTGAAGAGCAGAAGGAAAAGGCTAAGAAGCCGCGTGTCTTCACGGTCGTTCTCCATCCTACACCAGAAAGCTTGCAGATGGATTTGATTATCAAGGCGTCTACCCCTCAAGGGGCCAACGATGTATCGGGGCAACCCCCTTCGACTCCCATGTCTCTGGTTCCACCAACACCGACTGCTGCCAGCATGCCGCCTCCTGCAAAGCGTCAAAAGCGTGAAAAAACAGAACTCGACAGTAGCAACATCCATGAGGCAGAGGGTCAAATCCTCCTTGCTACAAATGCACCGTTGGTGCTTGATCCCACTAATACAATAGAAGAAACCATAATCCTGTTGGAGGCGATGAGTCACCCCAAACACTCACATGCTCCTCCAGAACCGAAGACGCGCAAGCGAACTCGCGCCGAGATGGCTGCGGACGAAGCACAAGCTGCAGAGACAGAACGTTTTATGCTCTATGCAGACTCGCGTTTGGCGCCCAGCGCAAATGGTGTGCAAAATGGTGGCACAGCGGACGTCGACGCTTCTAATGGTGCATCGACATTTGAGCCAAGATTTGAGCGCTTCAAGATTCTTGACGAGATCAAAGCACAGCATAATGAGAAGAAGGAGCAAGATAAACTTAAGCAGCAAGAAGCGGACCGAAAGCTACAGCAACAGAGAGCGCAAATGCAACAAGAGGCCGTCCAGAACGCTCAAAAGCAAGCCCAAGAAGAACGAAATCGCCGTGAAGCTGCGGCCAGAGAGAACTCAATGCGACAGGCTGAACAACAACGACAGGCACAAGCACAAGCTCAGGCTCAAGCTCAGGCCCAGGCTCAACAAGCTCGTGCACAAGCTGCAAGCCAGGCTGGCCAGACCAATCAAAATGGTCAGAGACCCAATGGAAACCAACAACAACATGGTCATCCTCAAACGAATGGAGTCAATAATAATGCCGTGGGCACTCCTCAAATGGCCAACACCATGCCGCCACAGGCACAGCCTCGTTTCCAAGCCCAAATTTCACAACCACCAGCATCTTCTCCCGTGGCTCGACAAGGAACTCCTCAACACATGTCGTCTCCCATGGTTGGAAGTGTCCCTATGCAGCAGACCAACTCCGGCATGGCAAACAGTCCTCCACGGCCATCATCTATTGTTCAGAACCCGGCCGCTATGTCTGTTCCTATGACTCACAATATGTCGTCCAGAGGGAGCCAACAAAGTCACCCCTCAGGGACACCGAGGATGCCTCATTCAACCCCCAACATGGCGCAAGGAACGCCCGTCAATCGGCCCGCTATGACCGCCACTCCTCGCATGACCCAGGTCAGCCCGCCACCGGCTATGATGGCACAAAACTCGCAACCTGGCCAAGGCATGATGATGAACAACCCAGGCATGAACCAGCAAAACCAACAATTAGCTGCACAGCTTGCACAGCAGCGTGTTCTTCAGCAGCAGCAGCAATTGTTACATAACATGAATAATGGCAACATGAGTCAGATGAGCCCGCAGCAACAACATTCGATGATGCAGATGATGCAGAGGCAGTTGATTGCTCAGCAACAGCAAGGCAACATGCTGTCCCCTCAACAGCAGCAACAGCAGCAGCAGGTTGCTGCCCAGTATGCCCAGCAAATGCAGAACATGCAGGGCAACCAAATGCGTCAATTCCCACCGCAGATGCAGGCACAGTTGCAGCAAATGATTCGTATGAACCAAATGAATAATGGTCAAATGGGCAACAGTCCTATGCAGCGCCAAGTCAGTGAGCAGATGATGAATGGAAACAACAACATCCAAGCTTTTCAGGCAATGCAGCAGCAGCAGCAGGTGCAACAACAGCAACAGCAGGCGCAACAACAGCAGGCGCAACAACAGCAGCAGCAGCAGCAGCAGCAGCAGCAGCATCCTCAACACCAAATGGGGCAAATGGGTGCTATGGGTCAGCAAGGGGCCCTTCAGCTCCAAGTACAGGCCCAGGCTAGAACCATATATCAACGAATGGTCCAATCCGCAGCCGTCAAGCACGGCGGAACGGATAAAATCCCGCAGGAGCTGTTCAATAAGATGAAGACCGCTAGTATGAGTCAGGCTTCAACAATAGTACAGCAGCATATGCACCAACGCAGGCAACAGCATAACATGCAACAGCAGCATAACATGCAGCAGCAAATCCAGCAGCAACAAATGCAGCAGATGCAACAACAGCAAATGCAGCAGCAGATGCAGCAGCAACAAATGCAACAACAACATTTGCAGCAGCAGCATAATATGCAACAGATGCAAGGGATGAATGGCATGATGGGTGGCCCTCAGGGGATGTAATGTTTTGACCAGGATTTGAAAGGGAGTTGAACGATGGGAAGAGTCTATGTTATGGCAGACAACAGGGACAGGTTTGGTGACCACGGAGTTCAGGAGGATTCAGGATTGTTCTTATTTGTTTTTCTTTTTCATGTTTACGAGTTTGGGCAGACTTATACCCCACGGAAAGCGTTCATATCAGGTCAAGGGATTCTTGTCAACTGCTTATAGTTATGGTCTTTTATTATTGGATAATATAAAGATAGGTATCTCGGCCGTACGTGTGTCATCACAGGCACGTATCAGCGGGGACTGGAGTAGTAAAAGAGTCGTTCAAGATCACCTTCAAAAGTGTACACGTGCTTGATAGCTAACTCGTATTGAGGTAACCTAGAGAAGAATTTGTGTTCTCGCTACATTTGTAAGCTATATCCAAAATACCTACGCTGCAGAGGTTTGATGTTCTGGGTGGCTCGTGCTGGCTGTCACGTGCAGCGCAGTTTGCGACGCGGAATGACACAACCGCCAAGACAGGAGCTTCATTAGTAGGTACCTAGTTTACCTCATCCAATCGTTGACGCTACCTACGTAAATCCGCGATACAGTAGCTCAAGGCAACGTGACCATTTCATCACGCAGCTTCTGCTACAAGACACACGCAAGAGAATACATTCGGCTGAGCCCTTTCGTTCGTTCAAGTATAGCGGCCACGTTTCAACAGTTTCTTTTTCTTTCCATCCGCAACCCCGTCCTTCCGGTATCATCGTATAACGTCTCTCCCTATCTCAACTTCCGTGCTGTTCTGTCAAGGGCTTTACAATGCATCGACCGGATCTGTTGGCATTTCTACTGCCCCTGTTGGCTGCGCCGGCTTTTGCAGCAGAGACCCTCGACTGTGGAAAGATTCGCGCTGATGGACATACATTTGATCTCTCTAAGCTTGGTGGACCGCATTCAGTTGTGACGACGCGATACAGGCCCAACCCACCCGAACACTATAACACAACCTATACATTGGACATTTGCAAGCCGTTGAAGAAGAGCGGAGGCAAGAAGTCGCCAGAATGTCCGAATGGCACTCGGGGTGCGTGAAGACTCTATTACGATTACAAAGCTTTACTGACAAGCTCTAGTTTGCGCCATTACACACCTTCTCAAGACTGACGAAGACAAGAAAGAGACCGATGAGGTTACGAACGTCGTTGCGATCGCAGGAAACCTCGAGAACGCCGGTGGTTCTCGATTCGAGTGGACTCCTACAAGACTTAGCACGGCCGAGTCGAACTCTGATAAGAAGAAGGAGGGTTTGCGCCTTGTTCTCATGGGAGGAAAGGATCCTTTATCCGGCCCTTCCAAGGAGAGGACAGACCAAAAAGCCATTGTTGAATTCCTCTGCGATCCTGAGAAGGAGGGAACAGAAGGCGAGTGGGTATCCGAGGAGAAGTACGAGAAGCGAGCGGACGAAAAGAAAAATGACGATGAGAAGGAAGACGACGACAAGGACGAGGGCGAGTCTACTCTTGAGCATCAGCTCAAGCATGATAATGCCTCGCTTGTCTGGGATGGCTTTGAAAGCGAGAAGAGTGCCAGAATTCTGCGCTTGACATGGTACACCAAATATGCTTGCGAAAAGCGAGAGGAGAACGGCGGTGGTGGCAGCGACGATGATGGGGAGAGCACCAGTTCCCACTGGGGATTCTTCACTTGGTTCACCGTCATGTGAGTACATCCATTTTTTGACTTGTGCAGCGGTTTTTAACGTACTTATCTAGTGCTTTCCTGCTTATTGCTGGTTACCTTATTTTCTCGTCTTGGATCAACTTCACTCGCTACGGCGCACGAGGATGGGATCTTCTTCCCCACAGCGACACTATCCGCGACATCCCTTACCTGCTTAAGGACTGGATTCGCCGAGTCCTGAACACTGTTCAAGGCACAGGTAGCCGGGGTGGATACAGTGCGGTTTAGAGCAGGTTAAGAAGTTGGCTTTGCTTTTGTATCATTCGAAGTGGAATATCAGACTTTACAAGGTCTGTTTGTGCGCGAGGGGCTATGGTATGGCGCTTATGCTAGCAATTCATTTTTAGCTGGTTTGTATACATAGGTTGGGATTTCCGGTCTTCGGGTCTCGTATTATGAATCGAGTGTTTAGAGCAAGATGCGAACATGCAGTGTTAAGGAGTCAGCGTTGGGCAGGTTAATGCAATATTCATATATCTGTGTCGCGACAGTTGCCAAATTTATCATGACTCTATGTTAACGAATAGGTCTGGCCCTTTGTCGTGATCTGACTTTTACTAGTAGTCTGCGCCGAGTAGTTTCTGTGAGTCAGTAGAAAGAATACAGCAGTCAGTCGAAGATCGGGAAGAATTGATGATTGTATTGCACAGGGCGTGCCTTAGAAGACTTGAACTCACTAACAGGGGTCAGAGAAAGACACTGCATCATGATTCCATAGCCTGACTCAATAGTTTCCCCATAATCAAGACCCTTCCTTGTCATGGCCGCTCGAGTGGCTCCATTGTGAGTAACTTGTCCCAAATAAAGTTGCTAGCGTCATAAAATGGTCTGCGATAGCGGAGGCGATTGATAAGATAAAGCCACAAATATTCTCTCGTCTCGTTGAACCCCTCCAGACCAATACAACAATTCCTGCATATCTCGTTTCTTCCTCCTCCCTTTGTCTTTTTTATTTGTCGCATTCGATTATTAATAATCGTAATGGCTATGCGATTTCCCTTCCGAGCTCGATTGGCCAGCTCCTGCGCCGTCGCCCGTCCTCGGATCGTTCGCCGAGGTCTTGCTTCGCTGCCAAATGCCGACGTCGCGGCCGACTCCAAGAGCGCTGCCATTGTGAACGAGCATGCGCCTTATATGGTCGCTACATATGCTCGACCCCCGCCGGTGTTTGTCAAGGGAAAGGGTTCATGGCTCTGGGATGCTGAGGATCGCAAGTTTCTTGATTTCACTGCCGGTATCGCCGTCAATGGTCTGGGCCACTGCGATCCTGAGTTTACTCGTATCATGACTGAGCAGGTAAGCCGATTTGAGAACTATGCTGTCCATGGTTATCACTAACATGAAAACTTACAGGCCGAGACCCTCGTTCACGCTTCTAACCTCTACTACAACCCATGGACCGGCGCCCTGTCTAAGCTCCTCATCGAAAAGACTCTCGAGTCTGGCGCTATGCACAACGCCTCCTCAGTATTCGTCTGCAACTCCGGATCTGAAGCCAACGAAGCCGCTATCAAGTTCGCCCGCAAGGCCGGCAAGATCGTCGACCCCTCCGGCGAAAAGGTCGAGATTGTATCCTTCAACAACGGTTTCCACGGCCGAACCATGGGCAGCTTGTCCGCGACCCCGAACCCCAAGTACCAGAAGCCTTTCTCGCCCATGGTCCCTGGCTTCAAGACTGGTGATTACAACGACGTTGCAGGAATCAATGTGCTGGTCACTGAGAAGACGTGCGGTGTGATCGTCGAGCCTATTCAGGGTGAGGGTGGTGTTACTCCTGCGTCCGAGGAGTTCCTTGTTGCACTCGCTAAGCGATGCCATGAGGTTGGTGCTGTTCTGATCTACGATGAGATTCAGTCCGGTCTCGGACGAACAGGTACATTCTGGGCTCACGGAAACCTGCCCAAGGAGGCTCACCCCGATATTCTCACCACAGCCAAGGCTCTCGGAAACGGCTTCCCCATCGGCGCTGTCCTCGTCACACAGGATGTCGCTGATAAGATGAAGGTCGGCGACCACGGTACCACTTTCGGTGGAAACCCTCTTGCCTGTCGTCTGGCACACTACATTGTCGGTCGTCTTGCCGATAAGCAACTCCAGGCCGACGTTGTCGCCAAGTCAGAAATCTTCAAGCAGCGCTTCGCCAAGCTACAAAGCCAATACCCCGACCTTGTCCAGGAGGTCCGTGGTCGAGGTTTGATTCTCGGTCTGCAACTATCTCAGGATCCTACACCTATTATCAAGGCTGCTCGTGAGCGTGGTCTGCTTATCATCACTGCTGGTGTTAACACATTGCGATTTGTGCCCAGCTTGACTGTGACCGAGGCCGAAATCAATCAAGGACTGGATATTTTGGAGACTGCCATCGCTTCTACTCGATAAAGAGTATGTATACTTACTCGTGGGGTTATATGGTGTTCATGATTACAGGGCTAAAAGTAGATTTATGATGTAGAGAGCGGAGCTAGATAAAAGACTAGATACCATATACTGATTTACGTTTTACATCGGGTTCATCTTCTTATATCCATATACCAGGGCAACGTTACTAAAATAAACTCAACCCTGACTGGTGTGAATGGAAACACAGCCGGGTATCACTCGCTTCACGCGTGCCCTTCGGGGGGCGGCAGTTCCTGGTTCGAGCCCAGGGTTTGGGAGTGCCTTTTCTTTTATTGACCTGATTCCAATTTAAGGTTTATGGCTGATCATGACGCGGAACTGTGGCCTGGTGCCCTATTAAACCTTGGAGACTGTTCACTTTGCTGTCGACAGAATGTATATTTATGCTAAGTCTGGTGGGCAAAACAACAACTGAATAGTCCGCTATATACCAGTCAGTAGGGTGCGATAAGCTTGTACGTGGCCATTCCCAGTACCGCAGTTATCAAAAATGAGGTGAAAGAAAGCTTTCTTATATAGGTAGTCTTGTTCAAAATCATTACATAGCTCTTATACACAATACGCCTCATCATGCGCTCAACGCCAAAGCCATAGCAAATTACCCCTTCTATGGTACCCTAGCAAATAGCATGTGTCTTTCCATGCTTGCCTTGGAGAGAATGTTGTTCGTCCTGGAAACTGTTAGTTACAGAACATACACTATGCAGGGTGTTGGTAACTCACCTTATAAACGGGATGGGCATGCTTTCCACGCCCCATGGCAGAAATGTGGTTTCTGATATACTCTTCACGCTTCTTAATCGACTCCTGATCCGTTTCCTTGAGAAGACCGTGACAGAGCTTGACATCACAGATAAGCTGGTCACATCGACTCTTTGTAAAATCCTCTCGCACGACAACACGCAGCATCTTGACACCAGAGTTGGGAGCCATGGTGTAAGCAGGAACGACCCAACCTCGAGAGCGCAGGTGGTGAGCAAGAGCAAACTCGTCGTAGTAACGATCAGGGTCGCCGCCTTCTTCAATAGTCTTGAAGCGGAAAGCTACGAGAGGGAGACCGGCGCCTGAACGTTCCGACATGATGACGAAGCCGAGGTTTTCGAGAGTTTCTGTCAGGTAGTCTGCTGTACGGGTGAGGTTACTCATGATAGCACGGTAACCGTGCTTGCCGAGACGGATGAGCTGGTAATATTGGCCGATGACTTGCGATGCACCCTTGGAAAAGTTAAGGGTGAATGATGATTGGTCGGCGCCGAGGTAGTTGATGTTGAAGACGAGCTCTTGAGGGAGATACTCTGGAGATCGCCAGATGACCCAGCCAACACCGGGGTAGACAAGACCGTACTTGTGGCCTGAGACGTTGATAGAAACGACTTTTTCACATCGGAAGTCCCACTCCAAGTCAGGAACGACAAAAGGAGCCACGAAACCACCACTGGCAGCATCGACGTGGATGGGGACATCAAGGTTACGCTCAACGAGAAGATCGTTGATGGCCTTGATATCCTCATACTCACCAGTGTAAGTAGTTCCGAGAATAGTGCACATACCAATGGTGTTCTCGTCGCAGAGATCAACAGCCTCATCAGGATCCATTACAAACCTGTCAGGTGTGCAGTAAACAAGCTTCTCGTCAATCTCAAAGTATCGAGTAGCCTTTTCCCAACACACCTGGACAGCAGAGGACATGACGATGTTGGGATGTTCTGTGCTCTTGCCTTCAGCTTGTCTACGGTTCTTCCAGCGCCTCTTCATGGCTAGGACAGCAAGCATGATGGCTTCTGATGAGCCGACGGTGGATGTACCGACTGAAGAACCAGGAGGTGCATGGAACAGATCGCCGATCATGTTAACGCAGCGGTTCTGGATATCAGCTGACTGAGGATACTCCTCGTAATCGATAAAATTCTTGGAAAAGGACTCTGCCATGAGCTTCTCGGCTTCATCTTCCTAAACCGGGTGTTAGTGAAGCTATTCAGAAATGTTATAGTGGGGTAGTTCTGCGCATGGGTTGGTGTTGTAGCGCCTGTCATCCCCAGCAAAGCCAAGAAATGGTTCCGTCTCCGCCGTGAGCGGGGGTAAGATCGATGACATTCTTGGCATGAAATGAACTTGGCCGGAACCAGAAAAGTTCATGATTTAGTTTTAGTTTACGTACCATGTAAGTCGTGACGAAAGAAGCCAGACTGTAAATAGCAATTAGCTGTTGTTTTCGCATCATAGTATGTCTATCAGAGTAAACAAGAACCTACTTGAGCATGGGGTTGTTGTCGAGACTCAGATCATCCTTGATCATGCGATAAGCAACTTCGCGAGGCATTTCACCCTCAGGCATATGATGTCGAGGAAGATCCATCCCCGCAAAGCGAGAGCCATAGACGCTGGTGGTGAACTCATCTGGGTAGCTGGCCAGCTTCATCTGAGGCTTCTTGGATGTCCGAGAGCTCGATGAACGGACGGAGGCAGCGTCAGAGTCATCTCCGCGATGAGCACCGCCGACAACAGAAAGATGAGCCATGTCGTCTACAAGAGAAGAAGAAGGGGCAGTTTTTGAGGGGAAATATCCGTTTGTTGTAGTCGAGTTTCCTTGATCGTCTGTCTCAATGATGGGAACAGGCGAAGCAGCCTCACTTTCAGAATGCTGAACGAGACTCATGATGAATGAGGGGTAGAAGAAGCTCTTATAAAGACAATAATAGCTTGGTAAACGCCAGAAGGTTTAACTTGATGCGATAGGCCAAAAAGGGAATACGGGAGCAGCCGGTTTGGTGTGTATTGTATTGTATTGGATTGGATTGGATTGTTTTTGTGGCGCGTTGAATATGCTAAGATATGGCTTGTCTAGTTGGTTGAGTCTTTTGGTAATGACGGCACGCCGCAGGTAGCTAATGCTTTCAAGAGTTCGGTGGAGGGGTAGAACGGAAAGGTCGGCAATAGACGAGAAAGGACGTGTAATACACAATGTAATGTGAGGGACAGACACAAGATTATGTGTCTTTGAGTATAAGTCAAGAGAAGAGTAGAGTTGAGTAGATAGTAAGATGGATACGAGTGAGATCAAGAGGAAATCAAGACGGATTACAATGCAGAAGCCACCGACTTTTTAAATGATTCTCTCACAAAAAACATGAATAAATAAATGCCTCCAAAATAGGAGCATGGAAATTCGGCACGGGGGTGCATAACAGATCCATTTCATTGAGGCCCCTAAAGAAGCGGTACCATTACCTGAATCTTTCAACTGTAAGAGCTCAACTCAGAGCTTGGGGGGGAAAGCACAGCCCTGTTCTTTACCTATTCCATCCGATAAAACGTATTATACTGTACAATACCGCTGAATACACGCGCAAAAGATACTTGATAGCTACCAGTTAAACAATCCCGTTTACATCCGTCCTCATCATGCGCTATTGGATTATTGTTTGTCTGTGCTTTTGATGACGATCTCTCCCTTGTCTCTTCGGTGATACCAGGGAGCTTTTGCTTGACTTACACCGACAGACCTACCATTCTGTCTTTAGCATTGGTTCTTTTGTATATCCCTCATATGTTTCTGAGGTTATCAAACTTCATTTGTCCAATAGTTTGACAACGGGCGGCCTCACGTTTGACTGGAAAAGGAAATGAGTGGTAATATTCGTGTTCACTGAGTACAGTAACGAAACCCGCAACTTTGGGTTCAGGTCAGGCCAGGTCAGCTCACCTTGCGCGCGTTCAAAATGACCCCCTTTTTACTCAATCGGGCAACTCGGTCAGGTACTGTACATGTCTTGTTTCGGTGACATGAAGCAACACGCGGTTAAGGCTCAACTCAACACTGGGGTTTGGGTCAAAAGCATCTGATGTTTTGTTTTTGTAAAAGGGGTAGAATAGTTAGGCTGCGCTCTTTTCGTGCTTGAGATGAAGCAATCGTATCAGAAGACCCTTGTTACTTTGGGGTGCAGCTACAGGAATGTGATCCTATTTGCTAGAATGTCTGTAACGATGTACGGTACCTTAAACGTTACATGCTTATGATGGCATTTCCCCAGGTAAAGTCGGTGTGTCTGTTTGCCATAGATAGTATCGCCTCAAGTGTCCTTCTATTGTATTCTCTGGATGAAGCATCTTGATCATCTAGACGCCTGAACCCCCAAAGTTTGACCCTGTGGGCGCATTCATGTCTTACGTCCCATGTTGTTTTGTATTATACCCCCATTCTATGGCCATGTCTGGACCTTGACACTTCGTTAATGATCTGTATGCTGCAAATCATTCAGCACCGTCATCAAGCTATCCTTGCTCTCGGGCATCAACGACGTAGTCCCGGGATCATCGGATAAATTCAAGAGACGAATAACTCTAGACTTTCTTTTCAGGTCTTTCCACTGAAACAAATTTGCTATTTACAGGGCTGAGTAGGCAATGTCAGACGGCAGGCCGGACAACATGCGCGGCCCAATCACGGAGGTTGCCGGCCGGGACATCGGCCTCTAGACCCACAGCCCCGGCCGTCTTCCGTATTAATGGCCTATCCCATTAATTATACCAACCTGTACATATACCTGGGATCAACAATTCCCTCCTCAAACACCACGTATATCGTAAATGCCAGCCCTCCAGCCTTGACTATTCCTAACATCCCTGCGGTTTCTCCGTGAGGTGATGACCCGATCCAAGTGGCGTGACATCCTCCCTCAGCCCAGTCAAGGCTCCCCAGACTGAAAGACCTCAAGGATCCAATCGGCCCAACTCCCGCTTATTTTTCCCATTGCGAGTTGCGTGTTTTACTCACCGAGAAACTGACGCAGATACGGTCCGTCCGCCCCCTTTTATGCCCTGTTAGTCTTTATTCCCGGAATCTAGATGCTTCAAAGCCTTTTACTCTCGGTCGCTGTCCGTAACAGCGGCTTGATGGATATCTTGAATTATGCCTTCACCTGTTATGACGAGTTCGTGAGGCTACTGTGAAACGTTGGTCAGCATGATCATGCATGAATAAAGCTGCAACAATATGAATAATGAATGACTATGCATTCATCTTACTAACAGATACTGGTATTCTCAAACTCTACTGTCGAAATCTACAGTATAAACTACCCTGGTTCAAAGCGCGATGATCCGTCGGTTTGGGTCGGGATCCGCTCGATCAAGTCTTGGCTGCTTCGTTTATTCTTAGAAATGTTCTAGAAGCTTGACATTTCGCAGTATTTGTCTCGTACATGTCTGAATTGAAGTTATCAGTTTCTAATAAGGGTGTCCTTGTTATCTACAGACGATCATCATATCTTCGTAAGCCCAACTGTACATATATACTTCCATCAACTTATCACCGACTCACACTATGTATCCATGAAATATCGCTATATCCAAATGACCATGCAGCGCAGTAAAACATATCCATCAGTCCTCATCGTCAACCATACCTGTCAGCCCACTAGCCAGACCTTGCATTCTCCTCCCGAGTAAATCATCCGAACTCTTCAACTTGATCAGACTCTTATTCCTGTTCTTACTCTTGCTCAACCCCACACTCTTCCGTCTCTTCTTATCCCCATCTCCATTAGTATACGCCCGTGGCGTCGTATCTCCGCTTCCACTACCGTCATGGATCTCTGTCAAGACAGTATCTTGCTTCGGCAGAGGTGGTGATGGCTGGTTGGAACTTCGACGCTGGTTCATCTTTGTCATGCTGATCTCGAGAGGTTTATCTTCTTCTCCACTGGATTCGGTACGAGCATGGTGTCTTCCGTCACCGTTGATGCCGAAACCATTAGTCTGAGAAACTGCAGCTCTTGCTTGGCGATCTTTGCGAACGCGCATGACGTGGGCGTGCTCGAAGAGCTGGTCAAACCAGTCCACGCATCGTTCAAAGTGTCTCCAGGCGGGAGGATATACGGTTGGGAACTGCATAAAGCCATGGGATGTGCCGGGAATCAACATGACCTCCGCAGCATCTCTGTCGTTGAAGTCTGCTCCGTCGGCTTCATCTTGTACAAAGGCAGCTTCTTTGGCACGGCGAAGTCTCCCAGCAAAGATGACTGTATCGTCGACTAACGGATCTCGTTCTCCGGTCATAAAGTACGTCTTGGGGAAGTCAACGAGTAAAGCCTCGGGTGCGAGGACGGGACTGAGGAGATAGTCCTGGCTGAAGTCTGGGCGGTTGTGGGCGCCGATGTATAGGATGATCATGGCTCTCATCATCTCTGGGGTAAGAACTCGATCATTGAAATAAGAGATCATTGACGACGTCGCCAGTCGTGTCTTCATCGGTTCAACGTGATGAGATGCGTTCTTTCCATTGGCTTCTGGGGCCTCCTTTGGGAAACTCAGCGATCGAGGTCCGACATGAGAGAACTCGGGGTGTGGGCTTTTAGGTCCTTGAGACGCCACAATCTGAGCTTCTTTTGTTGTCAAACTGTTCAGTTTACCGTTCAACTTGGCATCCGGTGGTGGCGATCCTTCTTCCTCATCATCGGAATGGTGAGGCGTTCCCACAAGCTCATTGTACTGCATGCTCTTTCGTCGCATGATTCTCCGATTGGTCTTTCTCATCTTTCGATCCTTGATCAGAGACATTTGCTCATCAGTCATCCAGTTGCCAATGTTCATATCCAAAGCTGGGTAGAAGCAAACCAGTCCATCAGGAGCTGGTAGATCAGTTTGTCCCGGTCTTCGGAACGCCGGATGTCTTGTTTCCATGATCATCAAGGTCGCCGCGACCACGAGGTTTCCTCCAGCGCTATCACCTGTGATGATAATCCGAGGAACCTCAGTGCCTGGTAGACCCATGCATCGACCCTTCGTGTTGACGATGGTCCTGTAGACATCGAAGCACTCATTCAGTGCGTATGGGTACGGAAACTCGGGTGCCTTCTTGTAGTCGAGACTCAGAATAGGTAGTCCTGACTTGGCCGCCCATGAGAATAACTTGTCGTCATTGCAACGAGGATCCATAGCAACGAAACCACCACCCGGAATATCCAGAATAATCCTATCATGGCGCTCAAGATCTGACAAAGGCCCATCGTAGTACAGCCATGCAAGAACAGGCTCCTTATAGTCGCTATCCGAAGGTCTCGGGATTCGAATCTGTCTCGGCGGCCATCTCATAAACCGCGGTCTCATAAGTCCCTGGAAGAAACTCAAATACGGCGAAGTACCCTTATTCCAAGAAACCCGAAGATGCTCAACCGTGATCATCCCCCTAACCTTCCGAACTTTCTCGTCCGCTTTTTCAGCAGCAACGAGATAGAAGAGTGAGAAAACGATGCTCGCCATGTCGCGCAGCCACTTGGTCTTGATCTTCATGGCTGTCCAGAATCCAGCGTCCAGCGCGGTCAGGACCCATGTCGCTCGGTAGTAGGTGGCGTCGTACATGTTGGCTAAAGGTTCTGGACTGGCCAGACCGACGAGGGTGCTGAAGTTGCGGGCGGCGTATAGGTAAATCATTGTTATCACGACGGTTTGCCAGGCTGTTAGACGCTTGGAGAAGAGTCTTGAGAAGAATTGGGCGCCTGGAGGGCCATGTTGATGACCCCTATGCCTGTTAGCACAATGTGAAGAACAAAGATGGTTTCAAACACTCACTTAACTAAGTAGGCAGACCAAAAAGTCAAGACTGCCAGGACTTGGAGCCTTCGAGACTTGACTGAAGGCCGTCCTAAGACGTGATCTATCATGATGACTCGATCAAGCCTAAATGTATATAATATTCAAAGACTCCGAATATGGAAATGAGATCAAAAAAGAGACAAAGGAAAGCTAGTTGGAAATCAAGCACATGGTGTCGTTGGTCGTTTCCGGGTAAATTGACAGCCGTTCGTTCACATGAAAGAAGAGCGCAACACGACTCAAACACCCTCGGTGATAGGACAAGGATATCAAGCAGGGTTATAAGATCTTATCGTGAGTTTGAGCACAAACGTTACAACGGTCGCTTTTATGAATGGGTCAATAACAGTTTGAGGCTGGCCAAGACAATCAAATGCGAATGGAATAAAAGAAGAAAGTAGGGGAAAGTTAGATGTTATTGATTGTGGTTTGTATGTATAGTATACAAGAGGCAAGGCTCATGTTGAGCTCAGTTCGGTTCAAGAGCCGATTAGGATGACGACTCGTGACTCGTGACAAGTTTTGGTATTGGATACCTGGGTCTAGACTAGAGCATGAAATGAATCTCTTTTACCCAGACAAGAAGAAGAGCAGGAGACTGACATGTGAAAGTGCCTTTCTCGACTTGGCCAGATTCTGGGGGAAACGCGGGGGACGAAGTGGTAATTCTGTGGGGGACATGACGTCGATACGGCAGTCTCGGGAATAATCATTAATTACTACGTATCAAGTCATTAGGTAGTCTAACATCTTCATCGTTTACGTATTCCAAGACCTGACAAGGTCCAAATCAACTGCCACGTTTCTCCCATTGCTCACGAGAGACGCTGTACTGCATCAAACCTCTTCCGTCGCAACCTCTTTTCACCTGGAAGAAATGCCCCGAGAGCTAAACCTAGAACCAAAAAAGAACTCGATCGAGGAATGCAGCCCAAGCTTTGTTCACTGCGTGACACATGATTCATGCAGCACGTGTCAAATTCCCCTGGCAGGAATATCACATGCCGCGCCTTGGCTGGCTTGAAAGAACAATTGATTTCATGCTGATTGGGTGTTGAAGTTGATGCGGTTGTTTTCGGTTACTTATGGTTGAAGGAAATCTGTCTTTCTCTGGACAATAATCTGAGTAAGATCGAGAACATGAACAGTAACAAAAGACAATGGTTTCTATAAGAGTGATGAAGGTCTGATTCAAGTACCGAGGTAATTACTTTAGCAACGCTAAAAAGAGAGATCCACTGACCAAAAAAAAAAAGAGAAAACTTGCTTTGAACAGCAAAAGCTCTGGAGACAGAGGGATTTGAACCCCCGGCCTTTCGCAAGCATTTGAAACAATGCAAAGCGAACGTGATACCCCTACACCATATCCCCCAGTTATTGTTGAAGATGATGCATTTATTCTTCTATATATCCAGCAACGCTTTGACTCCTACAGAACTTTACTCACAGACATCAATCCATCTCCTCGCTTTTGGTAGAACGGTATTACTTGCGACATTCTTAATTTTCATTGGAACCATTGTTAGCTTAGTGAGAGAACGCAGGATCCAAAATCAAGCACCATGGTCCTCTGTCAAAGTAAAATAACACCAGTCCACAAGGTATTAACGGGAAGTTGTGTTAGTAGCTTCCTATTACTCTACTAAATACAGATGTGCAATCGTTAAACAGAATCTACAGTACAGTAACATCTTTGCATCAAGAGATTTGATGTTCCTCAGTTCCCAGTGTGACAGATAGCCTTGAAGGACTCTCATTTGGGTAGTTCTATCCTGCGGGGGGATAGCTTCATTACCATGGGTTCATCATAGGCGCGACTAGCTTGTGTACAAAGGGTAGGTAAAAGTGACCAGATCTCCCGCCCGGTCTGGCCACAGGGTAGCTTGTGAGGTAAATTGAAAAAGCCCTATCTCCTCCCACTCCCACCTCTCTCTATTTATATGCTGAGATGAAAGTTTACTTGTATGAAAAGTTAGTTACAACTCAAACACACAACACACAATTCAGTAGGTAACTGCTCTACGAGTATAGTAAAGTTTCCCACATATACTGCAGTTACTCATTCAGGATATGGAAATTACGAAGACCACCTCCTCAGAATCGTCGTCAAATAGTTGCTTGGGTTTTGGAACCAGAGCATTAGTTCACAAGACAAGGCTCAACTCCACATCACTTGAGAGGCAACCCAAATTCAACAAAGCAACCATATATATAATGTAAGTACTCCGTAGTACATAAGAAATAAGTATAGACCAGTCATAAGAAAAATTCATCCCTGAACATTGGGAAACCTGTTCCCACTGATACTTTCATAATATCATCCTAATTCGCCCTTTAGATATCCCATTCATCGCTTACTGACACTTGCTGGCAACAAACTCAGCAGCGGCACCAGCATCCTTGCTGTAGGTGAGGTGGTCGGGGGTGATGGCAGCAGTACCGGCGCAGACACCATCACCAGTGTGGCAGATGATCTTGACACGGTCAGCATCGACGCCGTTGATGGCCTGCTTCTGGAAGGGGTCGCCGAAGTTGACAACAGCAGCAATCTTGGAAGAAGTCTCAGCAGGAAGAGCTCGGGCAGCACCGTGGACGAGCATAGCACCCTGTGAGTATCCGGACATGACAATCTTGGTCTTGGGGCACTTCTCAGCAGCCTGCTTAACAAGGGCAGCCATCTTCTCAGTGCCGGCCTTGTCACCCATCTGCATAATACCAGCAATGTCGGCCTTGTAGTCAACACCCTGAACAGCGAGCTTGTCGCTGCCGAGCTTCTCGCCAAGGGCCTTGAAGAAAGGAGGTCCAGCGGCCATTCCGACGTTACCGGGCTCAGTGGTACCGCGGGCGAAGATGACAGTTACGTCCTTGCACTCGCCCTCAAGGTCGTTCATGGTAGAGCGACCGGAACCGGCGCCAGAAGCTCCGAGGAGGCCACCGAGGCCGGAGCCGGAGCCCGAACCACCACCGAGGCCGGGGAGCTTACCGAGGCCAGATCCACCTCCGAGACCAGAGCCGAGACCAGATCCAAGGCTAGGGAGCGAGGGAAGACCACCGGTGCCAGATCCAGATCCGGAGCCGGAGCCAGAGTCGGATCCAGAGTCGGAGTCGGAGGTAACGGGGGAGGCAACGGCAGTGCCTGTGGGCACAGGGGCCGCAATGTTAGAGGGAGCGGGAGTGGGAGTAGTTCCAGATCCAGATCCAGATCCACTGCCAGATCCAGAATCGCATCCTGTGGTACATCCTCCAGTCGAGCCGCCGGAGCCAGAACCTGAACCACCTCCGAGGCCAGGAAGAGAAGGAAGGCCGGATCCCGAGCCAGAGTCAGAACCTCCTCCCAGACCGGGGAGCGAGCCGAGACCGCCGCCAGAGCCGCCTCCAAGACCAGGAAGCTTTCCTAGGCCAGAGCCAGAGCCTCCTCCGAGGCCGGATCCAAGACCGGATCCAAGACTGGGAAGCGAAGGAAGACCACCAGTGCTGGAACCAGAGCCACCTCCAAGGCCAGGAAGCGAACCAAGGCCACTGCCAGAATCACCTCCAATGCCGGGGATGGTTCGGCGAGCAATGGGACCAGCCACTGCGAAGGGAACAAGAGTAAGGAGAACAGACTTGGGAAGCATGATGATGGATGTTGTTGTTCAAGTCGTTGAAATAAAGAGTGAGTTTGTTATAGAAGCGAAGGTAAAGGGCCAGAAAGAAAGAATGTAATGGTTGCTGAGTTGGTTTGAGATGAATCTGATTTCGAATCTTGGAGACGACTTTCGTCGAGATTATATATCAATTCGTCGACACTAGGATATCAACGCTCAAACCTCTTTTCATCTTCACGATAGCCCCCCATGCAATTGTGATAGATCTCTTGGACATCATGAACCGCAAGATTTTCCCAATATGGAAAGGCTACCGAAGTCCTTTCATCAATCTCGCACGCTGAGTTTCGAGTTCCCAGTTCCCAGCCCTGCATCAGATCATTTACTAGTCAGCATCCCAGCCGAGAATCGAGCTCCGGCCGATCATCAAGCAAGCATGTGTACTGTACTGTAGATCCCGAAAGCCTCAATGAGGATATTTAGTGGACAGCTGAGGCCCCCGGCTGTTATGAAACGGTAAGGGCCTCTCACTATAGGGGGAGAAACTGGATGAAACGATCGTCGATGGCCGTGCGCTCGAAACAGACTGGAAAAGAGATGACATGGTAGAAGCTTTTTTAAGAATGCAGTCTAGTCTAGCAGTGCACCTTGCGCTCGGGCTGATACGAGTGCTTTGTTTCAAGAAGAAAACGGTTGATAACGTGGCTTAATATATTCAGATATATTAAGTTTCTCTTACAAGGCTGGGCTGGAGAGGATTGCGATAGGTTGATTGATACTCGGAAACTGAGCCGAGGCTATCGATAATCAATCAATCAAGATAAAACCCGAGTATAGCTGTTTCACTAAACAAAACAAATAACAATCAACTAAAAGCAGTTCGTGTTGAAATTAAATTGGATCTCGGGAAATAATCCTTAGTTGAGTATGGACTGAGCAGAAACGTTAGAGATGGGATACCCACTTGGTTCGTAAAAGAAGAAACAATAGTACCATTCTTTATGACATGTAACTTGACTAAATAAAAAATGATCATCATCTATCAGGAAATAACTGAGAAGAGATTCGCAAGAATTACCGATTGTCCTTTGCAATTACGGATACAATATGCTTGTTCTTTGCGCCTTGACCTGTTCATGTGCCCATGTTTACCATCCAATTGCATCAACTTCTTCAACTACCGTCTCCATAACAGAGTCTCTAAGCGTGTATCAAAGTATCAAAGCTGTCGAGTTTATTCAGTCGGAGCAGCCGCGCTACTTCCTTCGGGTGCCACGAGCTCAGTAGCCTCGTTACGTTTCTGATCAGCAAGACGGACCTTGATGCCTTCATGCTGAGCGTAGACGCGGAGGCCGATCACGCACACAGCATTCCACGGCTGCTTCTTGCGCTGACCGAGACGGAAACGCCTTATCGTAGGGAACCCTATGTCATCGCTGTCGGAGCTTGACGAGTTGTCGTCAGATACTGTATCTGAGCCTGAGCCTGACCCGGATGAGGAGTTGTCTTGGTCAGATTCGGAGGTGGGTTCTGTGGGTGGTGTGAATACGGGGTAATGGTCCATGCTGTAATCCGTCATGGTCATCCGTCTATTGTTTCGAAATGGAGGTCGATAGTCTGGGTATTGCACCTGATCTTGGTAGTGGGTCGGTAACCCCGATGGTGGTGATGGAGGACCTCCGCGCCGAGGACCGGAGGGAGATGGTCTTCTCTTGTCTTTGTCTTCTGTAGATGCCTCCTTCCTTGGCTCGACCGATGTTTCACAACGTTTCGGTGCATCAACGTTGTTCTTTCCAGATTCTTCTGGCCAACATCCTGGAAGAACCTTGTCTGACTTTGTCTCAACGTCAGATGATCCCTTGACATCAGAGTCGTCATCACTCTTTGGTTCCGGGGTCGACTCCTTCTTGTCTTTGCCCTTGTCTTTTCCCTTCTCCTTCTCGTTCTCTTTCTCTTTCTCTTTCTCTTTCTCCTTGAGGGTCTGATTGTACTCGTGCCTCATTGCTACCATGGCTTGCTCCATCTGAGCCATGGCCTCTGCCATCTGCTTATTCTTCTCTTCTTGTTTCTTACCCTTGATCTTCTTCTTTTTCTTGGCATCTCTCTTCTTTCGAAGGGCCTCGTCTTCGTCGACTATTCCACCCTTGGCATGAGCCAGATCGTACTGCAGACCTATCTGACGCAGCTTCTTCGGGTTCTGGTCTGCTGCTCTCTTGACCATCTTCTCGACTCTAGGCCTCCACATACTTCGCTCCGCCATAATCTTGGGGATGATTTCATATGTGCCTGGTTCGAGTTCGACTTCACAATTTACACTACGTCGGTCCCACTGGTGCACTGGACGTACCGCGCAGATGGTTTTCTTGGTTTCGGACGACTTAACGAGAAAGTTTAGTGTGAATTCGTACTGACCCTTGAGATCAGTGAAATAGCGATCGTCGAGCTGGGACATGTCAGTGTCAGTGCTGAATGCATCTTCAAGGGGTGACCCATACCTGTGAAAGGACAATAACCACCATGCCTTCTTCCTTGACCTCAACAACAAACTTCTTCTTAAGGTAACCAGTGAGCCAGGAGATACTAACACTTAGCCACTGCTGAGCAACAGTCCATCGCTCATCGAAGAGTCGGGTTCGGTACATCCACTTGAAGTTGTCGAGCATGTCGTTGAAAGACATCCAGAAGATTCCATCGTCGCCAAATTGATGGCCCAACTTCTTGATCATGTATGGAGTCCATTCCTTGGACCCGTCTGACCATGGACCATGCCACTCGCCTTGGCCGTTTTCAGATCTCTGGCCCCAGGGATTTCTGAACATGTTAGAAGGAGAATGCAGTGCCTTCAAACAAACACTTACCGAATCTTGACCAAGCGAACCTTGACGCCGTCTTCATTTTCCACCTCGGCAACTTTGAGGACGGAATAAGCATGCTGTAGCACGATTCCATTCTTATGTTCATCGCCAGGTCCACCTGCGGATAGACCAAAGACGAACTCTCCTGCTTCGTCGTCCGATCCAAGCATTTCTCGCCATAGTCGCTCCTTGCGAAGGACTCTGTTTCCTGCGACTACAGTGGCTACGCCGCCAGTAAGATCTTCGACGGCGGTTCCAGACCATCCGCCTTCCATGGCTTGGTAATCACCATGAACTTTGGCAAACTGACAATATTAGCTTCCAATTTGCATAATCATACTTCTAACTTACCGCCTTCTCTAGCAACGGCAACCAGGTCTCGTTGGGATCCTCGCACTTGGCAAAGTACAAGGCCTCGGAACCTGTTTGCTTCTGCCTCTTGTATTTGCGTGCTTTCTTGAGGGTTGCATCGTAAACTTGACTGTCCTCTCCAAAGTCGTTGTGCTTCAAATAGAGGTTATCGTCCACAACAGTCGAGGTCCACTCTCCATCACGATAGACAACAAAGCCGTAGACACCGCATTCCTCATCTTTTGCAACGCAGATCTTTTTCATCAGGTCTTTGCGATGAGCGATGGTTGCAAGAGCAGCCAGCCACCAGCAGTTGCCAGTGGCTCCCTGCTTGATATCTGAGCTGGAGAACCCGTCGACGGTAAACTGTGGGTTCTCGAAGATCCAAGGGATGCGGTGGACTGAACCAGGCCTTTTGCTACGACAGATGAGGTCTCTGTGGTTAGCGTCCTCGTTCTTGGAAGCGCTCTTATCGACATCACGCTTCTTCTTTTGTGGCAGCTTGTTGGACTTGCGATCACGAGATTTCTTGATCCATCGAGCCTGAGTCTCTGGGGGAGAGTCATATTCAGGTCCTTCTGGTTCATCATCCTCGCTATCGCTGTCGCAGATAGGACAGTAGTTTCTCTCAATGCCATAAAGACAATTATCTTGATGCGATGCAAAATCGGACTCTATGTCAAAGTCCGGATCGCTGAACTTTGCGTTGGTGCGTTCACACTCTTTAACAACGGCACGAACTCGAGCACGGCAGTCTTTAGCAGCCGCCTCGTAGCTCTGTGCCGCGTTACGAGATTTGGGGTAGGAAGAGTCCGCATCTGTAAGAAGAGACTCGTAGAGACTCTGCGGGAAGATAGAAGTAACTTTGCCTGGAGTCTTGGAGTGATACTTTCTCCAGAACTTGGATACGAGAGCTTGAGGGCCGAGCTTCTTGTGCTTCGACTTGGAGGGAGTGTTTGGGGCCGACGGGCCAGGGGCAGGCTGAGGAGGCTTCATAGTTAAGCGTTAAATAGGGGATGATTTTCGAGATTATGGGATGAACGTTGAGTATCGGGTTATGGAACTTCCAAGATCTAGTCTTGGAGGAGGACAGGCATCCGAAGTCTATATACCCAGCCATAGCCACCTCTTATTAACACCCATTGGTTACATCTGTTACTCAGATAGACAGTGATATGTTTGTCGGCTGATCAAGGTAACAGCGCTTCATCTCCGTGTTGCACATGCGATTGCGCAAAGTACATCTTGGCCCTCTTGTAAGCCGCCGCTTTTACCAGACCATCACGGCACACATGCGGTGCACAAGGCTGTGCTAGTATCATTCTTGCTGAAAGGGGGAGGGTGCATTGCAGTAACAAATATTGCAGATAATTAGGCAACAAAGAAGTTTTGCCTGGGGATGGATGTTGTAAGATTATGCCTTTCTTAGTCTTGTGGGCCGCTTGATTGGAGATTTTGATGGTTGAAAGAGCCTCTTTCTTAAGTGGCTGTGTTGAAGAGGCCTTGTTTCTGCATTGATTCGTCCGAATGCCACCCTCTAAGAGTTCATCATTGGGTTTTTTGAATATCATCACAAAGACCGTCCGTGACTAAATATGACTGTTCGGCCGAAACCGACAACCGTGAAATAAGGCTGAACCCCCCTGTACGTTCGTCTAAAGCAGCGATTGGGGGCCAAAAGCCTAGTCAGAACTAAAGCACATATTGCATACCCAGAGGGGCAATAGTGAGTGAATAACCTGGTTTTTTTAAGCCGCAAGTTAACAATGAAGCTGCTTTAATCATTATGTTTGTTCAATTTGAGGCCATATGCTGGTTCATTCATCCTCTGCAGCGGCATCTTGGCTGATCGTCTGACGTTGTATTGCAGCTACAAGAGACGAATCAGACTTGAGTCAATTTTCTGCCACGTCAGCTGGCTAGATGCCTCGTGGGAGCCTAGCTGGTGAAGAGAAGAAAGTGAGGCTCAACCGGAGGCAGAATTGGAGGCTGAGCAGAGTGTTGGATAGTATGAACTATGAACTGACCCTTGTTCAATGTGGGTTGCAGAAGTTCGTACCCTATAGCAAGACCTTGATCATGATGGGCTGCATTCAGTACGTAAGATTTAGTTTACTCAGCAAGGAATACGAACAGAATTTCCGGGTATTTGTTTCCCTTAACATTTATGTCGGTGATCAAGAGCCGAGGTGTTGTTCAGAAAGTTCTTTTGATTCCTTCGGCTCGAGTGCATTCCAATCACGCAACATCAGGATAAGGATATCCCACGAGAGTGATTAGTCTTTGTCACAAGGTTAATCGTTATTAGAAATGGTTTATCCACACTTTTAAGCTACCCTTGACTCACTGTCTGTTACTCTTCGTAAGAAAAGGAAATATCTTGCAAAGTGATTTGGAATCTCTTGCTGCCCTTTCCGTTGCAACATTCGTCCCCCTAGTCATAACCCTATGACTCAGAAAGAGCCTCTGCTTTCATATGAGGTTATTTAATTCTATCGTCATTTAATTCGTAATCAGCAACTTTCCATTCATGGGTTCGACGAGACCATCTGCCATGATTTTACAAACTCTAAACTCCATTGCGGAGCCGTAGATCCCGGGCCTTTTTCCACTGCCGTCGTTACGGAACCGCATAGTTGGCTACTATGGAGTACCTGCCGGTACTAAGTCAAGGCAGGGTAGACAAACAAACAGAAAGTACGGGCCTCAGGGTAACTCAAACAGACGGAAGCATCGGAGCGACAGGAGCACAGGGACACATCGAGAGCTGTCAAACGTGTCACTGCAGCCCTGCCTAGCGTACTGACCAGCGCCTGTTGGTTAGGTAGGTTCGCATTGGTACAGTCCATAGTTCAATTGAATGCAATGCCGGTAGAGAAAATTAAAAAAGCAGGGCCCAGCCATTCAAGCCCTGGCAACCTGTGTCTAACAACAACAGCATCCATCCGCCGTAGTTGACTAGCTGACTACCTAGTAACGGCTCAAAAGTGGATTGGAGCTTGTTTCTTTTGGAGGAATGCCCCTGTTTTAAAACTGTCAAACGGTGAGCCCAAGCCTAAGCAGGAAGCCCAGGGTTCACTACAGCGCTGCCTTGGGTTACTGTAGGTGCTTCAGGCGGGGACATGGTTGGCTGTGGGATAAAAAGTAAGGCGACATGAGAGAGAAATGATGTAATCGACAAAAAAAGTCTAGGCAAGGACCCTGACAGGCACTTATTTTGATACCAATAAGGTCAGAGGTTGTCATGATAGAGATGAACATCACAAGGAACAGGAGGATTGTCTAAACAATAAAAAAAAACACTCAGAATAGGAAGCACATACAGCATTTACCAATAAACAACCCCATTACTTCCCCAGTGATCCTCCTCGGACCCTCAATTGATGATTACCTCATACCATAGTATCCTTCCAGAATACGACCCCTGTTTTGTCTGCTCCGCTTCTTTTGTCGACCCCGCTAAAATGCAACATCCTGGACTCGCTCGCTAAAATTGTTAGTGCAAACCCATTCAAACCTACGACCTACGTATCACATCACATCATGGGCGTGGCCTTGCCTCCTCGGCTCTACCTCCGCCCAATACGGTCCTGATGTGCACATCGAGATCTTTCCTTTTTTCCCCCATTTCCATCAAGACAGCAACCCCCCGCTTATTGAGCGTCATCACGACGTCGCACACTAAATACGAATACATGTCTCGACCTCGAGCTCTTCAATTTCTGCCTCCGTTCCTAAGTTAGGAAGTCGAAGTCTAGCCTAGTCGCTTCGATCCCCCGACCGCCCGACCGACCATGGCGACAACTCCTCCCACTCTCCGAGATTCTCAGCAACCGACTCCTACCGCAGCATCAACTACAGCTTCAGCTGCTCCTACTCCTCCTGCCCTCTTAACTTCGGCCTCCGAGTCGAGCGATGATGGAATCCATCTGAGCCCGGCCGCAGCTCGTCGGTTCGCTCGTCGGAATTTGCGCCGACAATCTCCAACTCCCGACCTCGTTACAAGCCTTGTTCGACCGCCTTCGCCAGATACTTTCTATGTTGGGGCCCAAGTCTCTCAACACGCCAGACAAGATGCCAGAGCCCGATCCGATCCTTCATATTCTTCAGGTCTCTTGATACCGAATGTTGACTCGGACCGACGGACGGGACCGATGGTTTCTCCACATCCATCTTCTCTCGGCATCCCTAAACGCTATGGAGGAAATTGCATCTTCGACATGTATTCTCTGACATATGTTGCTGAGCCCGACCCCAACCTACTTTGTCCCATCTGTCACGACCCTCTCGTGGACCCAGTTACAACGCCTTGCGACCACACATTCTGTTACCGATGTTTGCGGCAAAGCATTGACTCCAGCCCATCTGGAACCGCTTGTCCTATTGATCGCGAACCTCTAGCATGGCCCAACTGCTTTAGCGCACCACGGCTCATCCGTACGCAGCTTAATAACCTCAAGGTTAAGTGCCCTTATCATGCTCGAGGATGCAAGTCGGAAGTTCGAAGGGAGGTCGTCGAGGTGCATGCTACGACAGAATGTCGTTTCAAGGACTTTACCTGTCCCGGCACTGATTGTGATAAGAGATTACGATCCAAGCCGACAGATGATGCCTGCCCACACACAGAAGACATGTGTCAGCATTGCAAATCGTCTTTCGAAGCTCCCGACCGCGAGCTTCATCTCTTATCCTGTCCCATGAGCAAGACCCGCTGCGAGACATGCTGGAAGCTTGTCTATCGCAGCCAACTCAAAGCCCACGGCGAACTGGAATGCGAAGGGACTATCGTCAACTGTCTATACAGCGAGTTTGGTTGTCCAGCTCGTATCATGCGTGGGCAGATGGATGCTCATACCATGGGCTGTGCATTTCACCCAGAAACACCATCGGGTATGATCATCAGATCACAAAGAGAAATCATACAGTCCTATACCGACTTGGGTCAGCAAGTTCAACAACTACAAAACCGCCAGGACGAGACGAACCAACGTATCACCGAATTCAACTCAACTTTAAGTCGCCGAGGTACGGGTGATTCTGTCGTGGGAGACAATCGTACCATACAAGATCTCGACGCTGGTTTTGAAGAAGTTCATCAGAACCTAACGCACCTCGAGGCGCGACAGAGCATGTGGACTATCAATCAGATCATGCCTATCCGCGAAGAGGTGACCGAACTGCGAAACAACATCAACATGATCCGCATGCATGTCAACTGGCTCCTGAACCGAAGCCGCGAAGAAGGTCGCATAAGAGCGGCCGCGAGCTCCGGGTCAACGGCGACTCTCCAAAGGGACAGGTCGGTAGAAGGCCCTCGTCTCTCGGAACGTCGTCGCTCAGCTAGTGTCGAGGGAGCAGATCTGCCTCGTCTGTGACGGGATTACCGTGTATTACTATTCTTCTCGATATGATCTTTAGTTCTAATTCTTCCTTTTTGGCGCATTCACGGTTCATGGGATACCCCGGCATCAACATATAGGCTTGGTCGGAAAAACGTTGGCACCTGGTTCGGTTAAGCGTTGCGTTGATAGTCTACTTTTGCTATAGATTTATTTAATCAGACGAATTTAAGTTTGATGTTCTCGATTGAGGTGTCCAATCTCTTGTGATACGTTCCTCCAAGATATCTAACTGTTTGAAACTTTCTGGCCTTCACATCAGTTCCTGAAGGAGGGTGTATTTCCTTTAGCCAGCGAAATTCAATTCAATCCAAAGCGAGACAAGTTTTACATAAAGCAATGTAATTAACCCTTCTTGCCGTTAATGTTTAACCTGTCTAGAACCTAATGGTTGTTATATATGTCAATGTTATATGGGTCAAAACAGCAAGACGCTATGTTGCCGCAGTGAGCGGAGTTTACAATGAAAAGACTGCGGAGTTTGGGCACGGCTGATTATACAACAATCTGAGAGCTATCTCCGTTTGGGTTCTCTTTATCAATTACCAACACTCTGACAAGAATTTCCAATCTTCCAGGTTCTTCTATCATACCTCGGCAGCCTCTATCTCAATAACAGTGATAGAAGCCCGAGACTTTCATTCAGTGCCACAGCTACAGGGAGCCACTAAAGTCTAGCAGGCAGCCTCACCGCCCCCCACTTCGCCCGCCAAACGTCCATTAAAGCCAGGGCTTTGCTTAGGCGGCCCAGGATTCCCCCACCCTCAGGTCTCCCAAGCTCATCATCATCCATCCAGCTCTTTGTGTACCTACAGTACTACCACTACGTAGACTATTCGTGAGGCTTGGGTCCACACTTCATAGATCTCCCATCTTGGTCTCAGCCTTGTCATCCATCTCACACTTTCTACTTTTGACATCACTTTATCGATCCCACTCCCCGCCTCATCCTCTTTTCGATCTCGACCCGTGCACCTCAATAATGGATCCTAACGAGCAACCATCATGGACGGGCGGCGATGCTCCGGACAAGGAGAAGATGGAGCAGGCAAGTCGATTTCAGACGAACTCATGATGGGAAGAGTATACTAAGCTATGTTCTTTAGATTCGCGCAAGGCGTCTTGCCAAATTAGGGACATCAACGCCTGTGTCTTCCAAGTCCGACGAGAACAAGGCTCCCGATTCTGAATCGTCCAATCCCTCGCGATCGTCAACGCCGAAGCCGAAGCCGCAGCCGCAGCCCGCTGCCGATTCACGGCCCAAGATTAATATCACCCCTTCCGCCCCGGCGGCATCATCTAGCCAGAATCCCTTCAACAAGCTAGGGGTTAAGTCAGAGACCCCGAAACCAACAGGTAGACCCCCTGTGAATCGCAAGAGACCTGCATCTGAGATTGACGACGCTGCTTCAGCGGATCGAGCCTCCCCGAAGCCCTCCAACATTCAACCCGAGTCCGACGCCGATTATGCCGATCGAGCACTCTCGCAGATATTCCGCATCACTGTAGACCCTCACAACATGATTAACCCCCATGGTCAACGATTGACGTTCCTTCCGAACCTGAACGAAGAGCTGAACGAGTCTGGAGAGGCACTGAAACTTTCTGTCAACACATTGGATCAAGCTCTTATGGAGGCGGCAAGCAGTTATCCACAGGATAAACCCCTGATGAACTACTTCTTGCCGTGCTGGAAGCGTGCTGTAAAAGCATTCCTTCAGATCAAGGCCACTGAGGGACCCAGGTTTGAGGTGCATGATGAGGCGAAGCGTTTGTGTATGAGCGGCTGTCTTTTCGCTCTGACTATGCCAGATCTCTATGGGTAAGTAATTCTGCTGCGTTGGTCTACAAATCTAATGCTGTGCAGCCGACAACACAACCCCAAGCATGACACCCTCATGCCATATCTCCTGAAAGGTGTGCAGGATGAAGGTGGTCTTTGCTTCAGCTTCATTCAGGAGGCTATCAAACGATTTGACGACGACGAGGCTTTCCCTGCCCTTTTTAATGATGCTATGGTCCAAATCAGCAGCAGACTGGGTAATATGACTATGGACCAGGATTACAAGCCATATATCCAGGCTATGTTAACATACACGAGGTTCCCACCTCTAATCGTCAATCTGGCGAAGCACCCGTGCTTCAACATGGCGCAGTCTCCTGCTGGCATTGAGAAGCACACACTCCTCGGACCCTTCTTCCGCATTTCGCCACTTCAGGGCGAGGTTATCATGAGTTACTTCCCTGGAGCTCGTACTCTTGACAAGAGTAGGATAGTAACCGCCCAAGACGCCCTTCGAATGGTCTTGAGAACACACCAAGACGACCTTTTTGCAATCACAAACGCATTTATCCGGGCCGGCCAGGATACAAGGTCACGAACATTGGATTGGTTTGCCTACATTATGAACACGAACCACAAGAGGAGGGCTATTCAGGTGGATCCGCGGGAAGTTGCTTCTAATGGATTTATGATCAACGTGACCACGATTCTCGACCGATTTTGCGAACCTTTCATGGATATGGACTTTAGCAAGGTCAACAAGATCGATGACAACTACTTCAGGAAGCAACCACGAATAGACATCACGGATGAGACAAAGCTGAACGCCGACCAATCCTATTCAGAGTCGTTCTACGCCAACAAAATACCTGGCGAAACCAACTTCATTTCTGAAGCTTTCTTCTTGACTTTGGCAGCCCATCACTATGGAAGCGAAGCTTGCAACTCCCAGCTGAAAAACTTGGACAGGGACATTAAATATTTGGAGAAGCGAGTTCAGGCAATGGAGGCGGAGCGTGCAAAATTTCTTAATCATCCCGTTCAGCTTGAACAATACGACAGGGCGGTCAAGAGACACGTCGATGCCCTTGAAAAGAGTATCGGGCTCAAGTTATCTATTGAGGGTGTGTTGCTCGATGAGCGAATGCAGAGCACATCGTTGCGCTTTATGCGAATTGTCGCTGTTTGGCTGCTTCGTTTGGTGACTCGATCAGAGTACAAGCCCGGCCAAGAGTCGAAGGAGATACAGTATGTAACCTGACTCAGATCGCCATCCACATACTGACAATTGCAGATTGCCTCTCCCCACAGAGAAGTCTGACGTCTTCTCGTGTCTTCCCGAGTATACACTACAGAACATCGTTGATAACTTCAAGTTTATCTTCAGGTAGATTTCCACGCCCTAGCATAAGAGTGTAAATGACTAACAATTGAGCAGATGGTTACCTAAAATCCTTCCCAGTGCCGTTGGCGATGAAATGATTGCGCTTTGTGTGACATTCCTTCGCTCAACGGAGTATATCAAGAATCCCTATCTCAAGTCCTCACTGGTCTCGCTGCTTTTCTCGGCTACCTGGCCGTTGATGCACCTTAAGCGTGGAGTCTTGGGCGACCAGCTTGTTGGCAGTCAGTTTGCCAATGACCACCTTCTGAAGGGCTTGATGAAATTCTACATCGAGTGTGAGTCCACAGGTGCGGACTCTGCGTTTTATGACAAATTCAACATTCGATATGAGATCTTTCAGGTCATTAAATGCGTCTGGGTCAACGACCATTACAAGCGACAGCTAACCAAAGAGAGCCGGTACGTTATGCTTTTTTGATGCACACGAAGACTTACTAATATATATGCAGAGTCAACAAGCAATTCTTTGTGCAGTTTGTCAATATGTTGCTGAATGACGCCACATATGTCTTGGACGAGGCTCTTTCCAAGTTCCCCAAGATCAGAAACATCGAAAGAGAACTCGAAGACCAGTCGTTATCCACCGAGGACCGCCAAAAGAAGGACGAAGAGCTGCAACAATTGGCCAATCAGGCCACCTCTTTTATGCAACTGGCTAATGAGACACTTGAAATGATGAAGCTATTCACTGAGGCCATGGGCGAAGCTTTCACCATGCCTGAAATTGTGTCTCGTCTTGCGAGCATGCTTAACTACAACTTGGAGACACTCGCAGGCAAGAAGGCGGCAGCTGAGCTCAGCGTCAGCAACAGAGACAAGTACCACTTCCGCCCTATTCAGATCATCTCTGATATTGTCGACATCTACCTCAACCTCGGCACTTCTTCCGTCTTTGTTGACGCCGTTGCTGCAGACGGTCGTTCATACAAGCCTGAGGTGCTCGAGCGCGTCTCACGCATCCTTACATCTAAGCACCAGAAGGACCCAGCTATCATTGCTCGTTGGGATCAGTTGAGGACTAAGTTTGTGGAGGCCAAGACAATTCTTGACCAGGCAGAATTAGACCTTGGCGATATCCCAGCCGAGTTTGAGGACCCTATTATGGGCGATCTCATGAAGGACCCTGTACTGTTGCCCAGCAAGCACATTGTTGACCGATCCACTATCGTTCAGCATCTACTAAGCGATCCTAAGGACCCCTTTACCAGACAGGCTATGACTATCGACGATGCTATTCCACAAACAGAGCTCAAGGAGAAAATTGAGCAGTGGCGAGAGGAGCGGGTACAAGCCGCAAAGGACAAGCTTAAGAGCGAAGCTATGGACACCACGGAAGGTTAAGGGTTGATATAGATACATTCTGACTTTTTTAATTTGAAAAGGGAAACGTCTGATTAGAGGTGGTCGGTGGCTATGTCAGCTATGCAGAGATGGTGCACTTGGACTCTGGTTTGCTTATGGCAGGTTTACGGAGGACTGCTTAGATGGGCGAGTCGAAAGGGACAGCATCTAATGACAAGCCAGGCGTAACAAGCTGCGATTCAAGAGCGCAGCATATTCTTAGATAATCAATATGTCGTGAAATAAGAGTAAAACCCATTCCTTACCGTCGTTTTGTTATGTAAATCAGGGTATCTCTATCACCTCCTATATCCCCGACCCCCAGCGCCTTGATCTATGTATATTGACTCACGCCTCCAAATCCTTGTACTCCTCAAGAATTTGGTCGAGTTCCCTCAGGATCTCTTTCTTACGCTCTTCAGAGCACCAACTTTCCTCGACTGCACCGCGAACAATCCACGCCCAGTCCTTAACAGAAAGGTTAAAGGTATCCTGGACACGACAGTACACCTCCTGAATGTAGGCACCAAAGTAAGCAGGATCGTCGCTGTTCACACTGAAAAGAACCCCGGCATCAAGGAATTTGCGAACAGGGGCGTCGGCTAACTCCGGAAGGTTGCAGAGAGCGACATTGGACCAGGGGCAGAAAGTCAAAAGTGTGCGGTTGGCAGCCAGTCTCTTGAGAAGTTCAGGGTCCTGAGCAGCTGCAAGGCCATGGTCAATACGCGAGACTTTGAGATGCTCAAGTGAGGCGGTGATAAACGAAGGGGGCGCTTCCTCGCCGGCGTGGGTGGTGAGACGTGTACCAGTCTTTGCTACACGGGCGTAGACCTCGGTGAAGAGCTCAGGAGGGAAAGCCTTTTCGCTAGATACCATGCCGAAGCCTGTTAGGGTGCCATCATTGAAATGTCCTCGATCGAGGAGAGTGTCGACAAGAGCATGGGACTCGGGAACAGGGAGATGACGAAGGATGCAGACAATGAGCTCGACGGTGATACCCAGATCCTTCTGGGCACGTTGCTTGGCAGCAGTGAGACCGGCAACGACGGTATCGTAGCTGACACCTCGGACAATATGGGCTTGGGGATCAAAGAAGATCTCAGCATGACGAACATTCTCGCTAGCAGCTCTTTGGAAGTACTGGTATGCGAGAGTTTCGAAGTCGCTCTCGGTAATGAGCACGCTCATTCCGAGGTAGTAATAGTGCAGGAAATCATCCAGACATGTGAATCGTCCATAGCGCTCTCTCAGCTTGTTGGCAGATTCATAGACAGGGTCTTCTGGAAGCTTAATGCCGTTCTTCTCAGCAAGAGCGAAGAGAAGCTCGGGCTCAAGCGTTCCTTCGATGTGGAGGTGCTGCTCAACCTTGGGTAGAGCTTTGAGGAAACTGTGAACTCGAGATTTGCACATACTGATTCTTTGGCTAACAACGGTCTTTGGTCTATTATACTGAGAAAAGAAGTTTATGCTGTACGGACTTGATCACCTGTGACGTTATATCGCTGCTTGTACTTGGCGTATTTCGTATTTTCTTTCGGTTCAGATCCGCGATAGTAACCTGTTAGATGTTGGTTTACCCGTACTTCCGGGTAAGAATTTGCACCGCTTGATCAAATTTTGACAATGGAACTCGATAGGCCCGAAGCCGAATCTTTGAACTTCTTGTCCAATAGAAGCATAGCACAGTTGCGGGAGCGCCCGGCCCCGTTATAGTCATGGTTTTGAAGCTTTGTTCAAGGTTACTGCTATAACATAGGTATCCGTACTGTAAGTAGATTGTATGCCCATCCCGTTGTACATATTAGAGTTTCGTAAATACTGGTGATCGTGAATCTGACGTATGATGTATATTGATTCGGCGACAGGAATAGCCAGGTATGTTGCTTGGCAGGCAAGCTTCAATGCCAACCAACGTCAAGCTAACGTAGACCGGTCCTGTCAGCAGGCTTGTCATTGTGGTCTAGATTGGCATGACTAACATAATACTGTACTGTAGTGTAGGTACAGTAGTCTACTGTGCTGAGGATCAGCTGAAATGAGTGCCGAACACCTTTGTCTCCTTTCTCTTGACTCTTTGTTTTCGTAGACGCCCACTGATCATCGCATCGAGCGCTGACCACGGGTACTAGACCCGTCCTAGCCTTCAATTAGCACATGTTCTAACTGGAGGACGGGGCACATACAATAGGAGCTAATTAGCTGGGATCACTGAGTAGATCTACTGTGTAGTCCAAGACCTGAGAGGCTGAGATCCTTTCAGAGTCTCCCTCATTTCTTTCTCTGACCAGCCTCTTGGTGCCGTGGACGCCTGAAATGAGTACATTGCTGACAGCAAACTTATTGTGTCACACCGGGGCCTTGGGATCAGGAACAAGGAACATAACCCCCGTTCCGATTCCCACGCCAAAAGCAAAGGAATCTCAACATTAAACAGGAAGCGACTGGTATGTCATGTCGTAAAGATAGCATGTCTCTGCACTTTCAAGGCGACAAGAAAGAGTGCTGATTTTGTTCTTTCAAGGTAGTCAAAAAGTTCTTTGTCTTTCTCTGGTCTCACTCCGTAATGCTGTGTATCACAAAGACGGCATTTGCTCCTTTAAGGGCTTGGGGCACTAAAATAATGTAGCCTAGATACCAGCTCAAGATGGTATGAAGTGTCCAAGTTATTTCGTCTCTTAGGCTCACGGTGGCCAACTTCTTTGCTACCCGACGAGTGATCATGCTCGTTACTCGTATAGCAGGAGAGATCCATGTATGTAGGTGCATTGCATTTGATCTTAACCCACATGCCGACGGTGTAACGACGCGAATCGGAACCGTTCCCATGATCTTTAACAGCTGCGCATGGGGATCACGACATCTGTAACGTACTGGGTGACATTGAAATTTAGCTTCTGATACTTTCCGCGAAGGGACTTGATGAGTCCCTATCGCTCGACACTGAATATTCGGATTGGCGGTGAAATATTGACTGCTGCCAGTCAAAGGTCAGAATTGAGGATGCAGCATGGCTCAGTTTCAGACATTGCGGGGGGTCTGATTGTATTGATGCCCCTACAGTGAATGTAAAGAACCAAATATGTGCCATTGCTGGGCCTATTCCGACAAGCAGATCCTGGAATGTCTCCCTGGCTCTGCGCCGTCAAGTATTGTAGTATTGTCGGCTGCAGCTAACCAGGCTTACTGATTCGAAGACGCTGATCGGTAACTCCCAGCATGCAAAGTACAGCCAACCAACACCCGTTCACCTTTTGAGCGTACTGAAAGAGGCATTTGTGCAAGATGCAGCACGGCATCTCTCATCCGTCAGAAGCGATATGACGAGAACATAGTTGTCCAAAACTGATAGTCGAGAATCCCACTTTGTTAACTAGCCGTGAAACTGTTGGTGGCGCCATTCCATTCGGCAACTAATACCATTGGCAGATGAGCATCGGAGCATGGACAGCCCGCTACTAGCTATAATGCTAGTTTTTAATATCTTTCTAATGCTAGTTTTTAATATCTTTCTTAGGCGCTCCGTCCCTCATGAGCAAATCGCAACAACAGGCTCGACTTCGGTTCAAACTGAATCATAAGTTGCTTGTCGATGAACATGAACAGAAGCGCGCTATCAATCTAGTGGTTAGTGCTGTCCATTCGCTTGGCCAAAGCTAAGTGATTGCCGCTCTGATTACCTTATATAGCTCTAGTAAAGCACGATGGAGCTGATCCTGAAGCGCCTGGGCCATGTGGAACAAGGTACGTAAGCTTCCGGAGCCATGCGGGAAGAGGGCGTTGAGTTGATAATAAGCCTGTTCGCCGACAAAGTGGAGTGAAGGGGGAGAGCATCCCAGTCACGGACGGCTAGAATGTCTCAAGAACCGACTAGTGAGCAAACATCCAGCGGAGTAGTCACGAGTTAATTGGACCAACTGTCGCCCGGCACTTGAACCAGGCAGATGGGTGAGATATTAGGTGCTGTGACCCTCTCGTTGATGAGTTGCGGAAAATTGTTCGATACAATGCGAGGAATGCGGATTGGTCTCCCCTCATAGCTTTGCGACAAGTGAGTGACCAAAACAGCTAGCTTTTGTCTCGTTAGTGGCGTGCGTATCAAGCTTAGTTGGGATTGAGATTGCGGCTGATGCGCCCCGTACCTGTCTGTCTGAACGCTGCACAGTACTTGTCAAAGGACCAACCACGATAGAAGCTCGTTCTAGAAGCTTATCCATGGGGTTATCGTTACTCTCATGGTACTCAGTTTTCAAGCACTTGGACGATCCGATTTCGAGGATGATTCTGCTCACGATTGATGTATTTGCCCCGAAGACCAGGTTGCTGGATAACTCCCATCGTCATGAAGACTTGTGGCTGTACCGGTATATGGAAGGCTGCGGGTCTTACTTGAATAATAACGCGACCAATGGAGTTGGCCAGGTTCTCCATACTGCAAGGTGCAACAGATCCGCTTCCTGCCATTGGTTGACTCAGTCATGATTGTCGCTTTGTCTTGAACGGCTCGTCCCGAATAGGAAAGGTAGGTATGTGCTGAGACCAGCAGAAGCCTTTCGAGAATAATGAAGACACAGTGATGGGATTGCATATGTATTCTATCCTCTCTCTTTCCGCAATAAGCAGCGTAGAATCGCTGATCTATGCAAGAGTCAAGAAGGGCGGATGACTGCAACCGAAGCTGACCTTGTGTCATTCCAATCAGAGCCCTAGTAAAATGGCTCAGCCAAGCAAGTGCCCACGAGACCCATCATCGGAGCCAGCGCCGAAATGACCTTTTCCATTGTTCTCGAAGACGAATAGACTTTCGTCATCAACGATTACAGTAGGATGGATCGACATCCGAATCCCCCATAGAAATTTAGGTGAATCTGATCAGACCCGATAGCGCTGAATTTGTGTATATCGTTAATACTGTGTTAGGTACAACTTGGGTGACGTGCGTCGGGTCGATACTCGAAAGCGAGTCGCGAGGTCCCATACGTAAGATGCCCCGTAAACGAGTGACGGGCCGATGAAACGGAGGCTTGACTTTGAGCCGTATCCTTGGGCGTGTTTGATCGCCAGATCCGTCTGTATGCTCTCAGGTGGCTGTTATGAACAGGGCACTCGACTAAGAAATGGCGCCCCAGACCGACAGATCGCAGACGAGCTCAGGGCAGGCAAAGACCTAGCCCGGGATCCAAACGACGGAGAAAAGGGTCAGCGAGACCAAAGTCGCAGAGTGGTGGAGTTGCTAGGTAATCGGATCTGACATGTAGCTAGGAACCATGACTTTGAGCGCTTCTGCTGATGTGGAATTAATGGTTGTTTGTGTAGATACCTACCTACACTAGGTACTAAGTAGGCACTGAAGGAAGTACCAAGGGAAAAACTGCGGTAGGTACCTACCTACCTACCTATGGACGTTAGGCAGGTACTCCCTTGCACCAAACCGTCCAATGGTTGATACTGTATTATGGGCCATTCGAAAGGAAGGAGTTTATCTCGAACTCTATCTATTATTGGGCTCTTGACTGGGTAGGTACCTACCTAATTCTATGAACGGATTTGATCACGGAGGAAGGAGCTATTCAGAGAGGTTAGTAGCTGTTTCCCATTCTGCCAAGACTCATCCTCCTAGGTTCTAGCCCGTAGCTACTGCAGTAACTGCGCAGCCATGTACGTACTCCGTACAGCAGAGGAACATTGAATGGAAGGTGCTGTTGGAAGACCCCTGCAAGCGAGTAATTTAGACCAGCAAACTTAACCTTGTCTACCCACGCAGACAGCCTGCCATGTCAAGCTTGTCTACGCTAACCTGAGGCTCGCCTAACTTGAATCGTGGCATGCATTCACCCCGCCAATCAATCTTTGGTCTTTTCTGTTCGACTCCTATTTGTGACTTCGTACCTTGGAGGGACGCTACGCTACAGTAACAGTAACAGTAACAGTACTACGTACAACACAACACGCTTCCCACTCTGTGCTTCAGCTTCAGCTTTGTCTCCGCCTTCTGTTTGCGTGTACGTTGTATAGAACCCACTCGATACATACCTACTTACTGTACGGGTTGCGCAGTACTACAGTGCGTTTTTATTTATTTATTCTAGATATGGTACTGATCTTCTGTACCTCCTGAGCACTAACACCGTCTCCAAGATCGTGGCTTCCTTGCTCTGCTCCAACAGATGACTTGACATGGCAACCCCTTCAACGGTAGTCAGCATCCGAAACCTCAACCCGCCAGCTCGAATCTCAGCCCACACGGCCCCCATGGACCCCCGCCCCCTCGATCTTGACAAGGGCCACACATCCACGGCCATGTAGCGAATGGAAATTGCGAAAACCTCCCCTCTATCTCTAAACCCCTAATTCGCGATGATACGACCATACCAAGCACTGGATGGCATGCCAAAACATACAGTTCATACAACCACAAGAAAGGCCTAGCTGCCTCGTAGTCTGTGCCAAATCTCTTTGCCAGACAAGCAAGGCACACATCATACTGGGCATATTCCACCGATTCGGCCCCGCTGCCTCCGCTGACGGACTCTCTGTTCCCACTTGTCTACCGGCCGTTGGCAACGCCGTAACGGAGCGTACCAGCTCCTTCAAACGAAGCGCCCCTGCCGCCCTGAAAAAACAGAATCCGTCTTATGGTCCATGACCATGTCGCTGGTTCTATGAGCCACCAGGATTGACTCGCATTTGAATCAGGCGTATGCGTGGTTGGCACCTTCATCTCGTCTCAACTCTATTCCGGTGTTTTCGCCTTTGGCACTCTGCAATGTGCCCGATGTTGCAGGCCCGCATACCTCACTTGACTTGATAGAGCCTTCCAAGGTGAAAACAAGCCACGCGAACCTGCTGCACCAGTTGCTCTACGACCTGCACTTTCGCTGTATGCCCCTGCCTTCCGTTACATACAAGGCGGGTCGTGGTATGTGCATGCTCAATTGTGCAGTCTCGTGAGAATTCTCTTCACTTTTCAGATTACCTGATGGCACATGCATTCTGTACGAAAGGCTGTATATAGCGGCCTAGGAATTTTATACGGTTATCTTGTACGGATGCTTTTAATCTTCTTCGTGCTGACCAAATGTCGATATCCTGCCTGCCCGTACCTAAGGTCCGGGCGAGCCGTCCCCCCAACCCTTCCCTTCCCGGCGGTTCACTCGGCTCTAGCCCGAATCCCCACTGTGACCCTGACTGGGGATTCGTCATCCGCTTCCCACCCACGGCGGCGGATATAACCGTCCCATTGGCGAACACCTGGACAAGGTGGCACCCTCGGAAACCATGATGGCCGAATCCATGTTCTCCGGCGGCAGGCCGTGTGCCCAACGGCAGCTTGCAGTTTTCTAAATCGGCCATCTGGCTATCCGTACAGTCCACCAGCTCGGCGGAAAGCCTCAAACTGGCCAAGGCCCATTGCAATCAGCATTTTAGAACTGCAACGTGAGGGCAGCTAGTTCCCGTCTGCATCACTATTGCTATCCCTGGCCTCTGAGCTATCGGCTGCTGACGCCACATATCTGGCATGACAACCATGAATCAGGAGTCAGTGAGCTTCGCGCTGTCCAGTCGTCGTTGAGCTCCACAACTCAAGCAGTCAGATAGTAGCGTCGGATACTACATGCTGAACCATGTTGACCGCACAGACAATGCGTTTCAGTTCTGAGACTACACCCTGATGTGTATTATCGGATGCAAACATGTCACCACGGATATCGTATTAATTATTCCGGTCGTCAACCTACAAGCTCAAACTGTCGTATTGGCAGGTAGTTGGACTCCAATGTTGATTACTGTTGATACGGACCCTCAATGATCTTTCATACCCAAAACGCAATCAACACAGTACACGAGACTGACGTTTTAAATTCGGCGAATTTCCTAGGTCCTAGGATAAATCCCTACCTAACTGCGACAAGGCACGCCGATCTAGGCGCGGGGGTAACACATGGCATCGCGGATAACAAAACACACAAAGATGTCCGAGCATCGTCCGGTTCGTTGTGCATAGCATTTTCGGAAGTACCAAGCTTTTTCTGGCGGTCCAGCTGCCGAGGAAATCTGGATCTGTAGCAATATGTCGGTCAGCAGTAGCGTTTGGAAATGGCTCATTGACTGGCTAGCACGGGGTCTGTGTTGACTTGATATTCCAACCATAAGGCAACGGCTTGATGATATTCGAGAGAACTGTGAACAATTAACATGATGAACCATCTGGTTGATAAATAGGATCAGATCGCACCACGGGTCCGACTTCTGGCATCCGATGGTGGCATACCATAGGCTTGGAAACAAGCACTCGCCTTGTTGGACTGATGAATTTGTCCAGGATCTAGGATTATGACTGGCAACATACAATTCCAGGATGCCAGTCTCCGCTCGAAACACATTAGCGGCCATGGCTGATCTCTCAACAGCCCTGCTCAGCCAAGTTGTCAAGGGTCCGCCCACCCCTCCCCCCAATTCACTATCGCCTGGCCCAGATAATATTTCCGAATCTGCGTTAACGCGCGGAGAGCCCCGGATCACGGACCAGCGCCACTAACACGGTGCTGCTGTTGTGCCCAGGGCTGGTAACGAACAACGATATACCTACTTGCAGACGCCTCTCCTTCCATACGGTACATTTCCTCTCTTCTCAGCCTAGTCGTCGTGAGCCAAACTTAACGACGTCAGCTCCGGCCTCGTGGCCTCGCCTTTCTTTTCTTCTTCGCAGGCCCTTCCAGAACACTAACTTTCCCGGGCGTTTAAGGCTGCGACTTTTAACACAGTCACTCGTTCTAACTACTCAAAGGTTTTGAGCCTTAGTACGCTCGCCTCGACGGGATTCTACGCTCGAAACCACGCCCGTGGAGGAGGTGTTATTAGGTACCACGCTTTGGGGTTTTGCTTAGCTATTCCTGGTCTAAGCATCGTGGTTCGGGAAACTTGCGATCTGTTCTCAGCGTTGAACAAGGTGATGAGCCGGAAAACCACATCGGAGAAGAACGGTCTCGGGTTACACGACCTCGCAACATTCGAGATATCCATTTTGCAAGGACGGATTCACACTGTTTATCACGGATTAGGAGACCGGCGGCAGAGGTTGGAGGTTCCATTGCAGGGTTGATTGACAAACAACAGTACATCCTAGCTTCTTCTTTCCGAGCAAAGCGAGAAAACGGGAGTTTGCCCGCCCTGTACTTGACGACCTGCAGCTTTTGTTCAACAGAGTCATATTTATGCTCGTTGACCGACGTGCCCCCAGTGTCCTTTCCGTTGGGGGACCCTTTGAGGCTTCCTCGACCAATCCCGGTAGAGGTGGGACACCGAGAGGGTTAACAGCTATGTCAACTTCACAGAACGTCTATACTCGCTCGCCCAATCCCTCAAACAGGTCCTACGACTCTTCGTCAGTCTCATCTGCAACATCGCCCAAATCTTTGTCCCAATTCACACCAGGGGCCATGAATACCAACCCACGTTTAAATCTACCGGCCACGCCCCAACCCATCGGCATCCCCCCTTTACCTCCAGTCAGCCAGGGCTTCCAATCATATGGCCCAATGACCACATCGTCGTCCCTTGGTCATGAATCTCTCGCCTCCAATGAGTCGGTGGCCAGTACACCAGGCCCGTCGACCTCCCAGTTAGCGGGCCCGCCTGGTTCTCAGGGGCAAAAGAGAGCCTATCGCCAGCGAAGGAAGGACCCCAGTTGCGATGCTTGCCGCGAGAGAAAGGTGAAGTGTGACGCAACTGAGACAGCAAGTTGTTCTGAGTGTTCTAGCCGCAATGTCAAGTGCCAATTCACAAAGGAGACGAACCGGCGTATGTCATCTATCAAACAGGTTCAGGATCTGGAAAAGCAAATGGAAAGGGTGAAGAGGGAGAACAGCGGGTTGCGGCGTATGCTTCAGGATCGCGAAGGACCAATGGAACTTGACGCCGAAGGAGGCAATGAAAATGCTTTCAATTTACCAGCCATCGGATCCGAACCGAAACGAAGAAAACGATCAGCTCCCGGGCAAGTACCGGATCTTTACAGAGCAAGGTCTAACGTACGAGACTTCTCGAGAGGTATCTGGAAGCTCCCAGCCCAATTTCGCGAACGCGCACCCGTCTTTTTCGACCCCCCAAGACCAGAGCTACCCGCCAGGCACCTGGTTGATCAGTTACTGCATGCCTACTACACATCGTCTCATTCCATGTTCCCGATCATACACTTTCCTACGTTTCGAGCATCCGTGAACGATTTATACAATAGTAATGGCGCCAGCAGAACATCTCCAGCTTGGCTGTCGTTATTTTTTGCGGTCCTTGCAACAGGCAGTCTATTTAGCCAAACGTCTAACTCGCAGCCGAACTCGTTTTATGAACCGGCCGAATTCCTCGAGACAGCCAACAAAATGCTCGATCCGTGGGCCAACGACTTCACTTTGGACTATGTGAGGGCACTGGCATTAGTATCTCTCTGTCTGAACGAGATGAATCTGAAGTCGGCGGCCTGGACGTGGCTAGGAAGAGCTGTCCGTGTCTCTCAGGACCTCGGGTTGCACATCGAGTCTGGACCATGGCCAGTCATTGATGGAGAAATGCGACGCAGAACCTGGTGGATGATCTACATACTAGACAGGACTATGGCGACGGAGCTTGGTCGGCCGGTCTCGATCAGCGACAACGATTGCGATGTTCCATTGCCAGCGGGGGTTGACGATCAGTTCATCCACGAGGGGGGAATGATGGTGCCTACAGGGGCTGAGCCTTTAACTCATTCTTTGCTCGCTGTCATTCATGTCGTACGATCGTATTCATCACTTATAGACGCTCTCTCGCCTGGTGCACTGGCTACGGCCCACCTTTCAAGTCTTGACACCCACTTCAAGAAGTGCTTGAGTACATTTCCTCCAGCTTGCGATCCGTCAAGCACTGTACCACTTGCGCCTCACTTTCTCGCACCCCTAGCGTACCTCTTTCATGCTCGACTTCTGCTACACCGACATCATCTTCACCCCGAGTACCCTGTCGAGGCCCGTATGGCATCCCTCGAAAGTTGTACACATATCTCTCTTGAAACAACGTCGCTTCTCCATCGGTCGAACTCAGCCCTTTTGGCAGACGGTGCGACTTCTTTGTTGACCACACACATCTTCCGCTGTGCGCTTTTCCTTCTCCTCACCGGTTATCTGGATCATGCATTGGCGGCAGTGCGAGCTTTGGCCTCAATCGATCGACGAAGAGATATCACCGTGGCCTGTGGGAGATATCTTTCATTTTTTGTGGCAACATTAACAGCGAAGCGAGTTGAGTACACCAACTACTTGGCAAGGACCGCCGCACCACCATTCGGTTCTTCGAGGTCATCAATCGATCAGACGGCCCTGCTCCAGATGCTTTCCCGAGACGAAGACCTGTTAGCGTATGCCTCTGCCGATCTTCAAGCCTCGCCTGATGCTTCATGGCTTTGGGCTGGCGCAGAGCGAGAAGTTCCGCTGTCCCAAACATCTTCTCCATTCCAGCATTCGACTGCCACATCAAGCAGCGAGCTATTCAGCCCCGAGGCCCGTACAGGCCTAAAAGAAGTAGAGGGCAAAGAATGGGGTGGGTGGGTAAGGCTTGAGGCTGCGGTACGTGGGTTAGAGGGTGTACCAGCCACAACTCCAAATCCCTCAAGCGCGACCTGGACACTACCTCCTCCTATAAAGAGCGAAACACCTGGCCCGTCGGTGGAACTCCCAAGGTTAGGTGATGTACCCCGATTCGGGTCCGAAATGCCAAAGCTAGGAGAGGGCAGCACAGCAGTTAGCCCTGCTACAGGCGGCAACAGGACACCAAGCGGAAGCGCACCCAATCCAGCGACGAGCAAAGAACGATTGAGCATTGCGAACATCATCTAGAGAGCTTGACAGAAGGGGCCATGAAGCGAATTATTAATGTTTATTTATGAGACGTGTCTTCCTTGTTTAGTGCTGGAAGCTGGCTCTTTCGGAAGAAAAAAGTTGAAGGAGCAAGGCGTATACATATATAATTTGCTTTTGTTTTAGGGTGCATTTTGTTTTGTCGTGCGTATCGACATATTGTCGTGTACCGCTGTTTTCAGGCAGCACCGCTCGGGGAGCATCTATACAAAGATACCACGCGCTGCATGAGACGGGTATAGGATTTTGCATAGCACTTAGGCGTAACGGGCGTTCTTGGGCAGAGACCCATAGATTTTTATACCGTCCTGTGACGGTTGTAATAGGAATAAAGCTTCATCGTTTAGGTGAAGCATGCATGCGCTAGACGGCCACCAGTTTGGGGACTTCAACTAAAAGGATGCTAATGTCTCGTGAGTGATTGAGAAATATCGAGCACTTCTTGTTTTCACAATGCTATACACAGCTTCAAGCGACAGGTCCTTGATTCAACCCCATTTCAACTGCTCTTTCACACAGCGTGTGTTTCATGTCACCTCCGTCGTTCACGTACTCGGCAAGCTCAAGGGCTTTCAACGCCCATTTATGACACAACTTTTGATCGTCTCTCCCCGACATATCAATGGCATGGTTGAAAGTAGCTGCAATGATATAATCCAAGTCATCTGCAGGGAAAGGGCTTTGCATCTGTATACCTATGTTAGCACTAGGAAACATCTAACGATAGGGGTGCCAGTTCTATAGGGGCTGACTTACTTGGCTACCTTCACGTGCGATCGTGACTGCTTGTTCGACAACTTGCAGAGCCAAAAGGTCATCTAATGGAAGTATGGCCTTGAATAGACAGCGTATGTATTTGGCCAGTCGCTTGTTGTCGAATCTTTCTAGCGAATGTATCTGGTTGATGATGAGACACATGGTTCCGTACACAACTGGAATCATTAGCTCTTCTGTCTGGCTTGTCAAACATGAATAATCGCTTACCATTACCCGGAGCTTCACTCCTTAACAGGCAGTCTCCCATAGCTTTGTACATTGTTTCATCCTTGCAGACCTCGGCTTTTCGGACGATTTGGTTTAAATCGTCCCAGTTCTTGAGATGGATAGCGCCTTCAAAATCAAAAACGAAAAGCGTCGTCGCTTTAGACAATAGATCAGGGCAGATTTCGGTCTCTGGGCCGTCATTGACCTGCTCGCTAAAGAATATGTCGAATTCTGAAATGTGATGCCTTGCTTCAAGATATCTTTGGAGTTGCTCATCTATCTTGTCATCAATACGTGCTTGCGAGATAAGGGCCGCTGCGATGACAAAATTGCAGCGGGCTATCATTAGTCTCCTATCAGCCTCATCATCGGAAGAAATGTCCGAAGGATAGCAGGTTGCAAAGGCGAGACACGCGCGAAAGACACGGATGACATGCCACAGCCCCTAAACGTGGCATTTCGTTACACCGATGTTGTAAGCATTTTTCCTGAACCAGTGCAGCTCCAGGACTGTGAATATCCTGGCGTCGCTCTCATCCTTTAGGTTCACCTTTGCGTACTCGACAGCTATTCGTGTTAGCAGATACTTGAAACTCGATGACAAAACGCACCCCTTTCGAATAATACACAGGTTTCCTCCTCAAGCTCAGGAACTCGGTCTATGTTTTCATCTGGCAAAGTCTCAATCATGTGGATCAGCCGTATAGCACATCTGATGATCGAAGGCAGATTTATAGTCGACGGATCTGCCGTATCGAACCCTTCGACTGCTGCTTTCAGGGTCTCCAGAGTCATGAGCTTGTCGCCGGCGTTCTGTGCATCTCTTGCACAGGCATATATGATGTCCCGACATTGGCTTTTGTCCGGCATCTTGCCCAGATATTCGATGCATTGGCGCCCCAATTGGTGGTTCCAGCTTTTCAAAGCCACCTTAAACATGAGATATCTAGTAAGAGGTTCGTCCTGTATACTTTTAGGCATAGCATGGAAAGCAGCATGCGCAGCATCTATATCTTCGCATGCAATCGCACAACGCATCAACCTTCGGCTGAACTTTCCTTGACTTGTCTCGCCACTGTTGGAAAAGATCGGATGAAGTGCAGCTTGGCACCAGAGTTCGCATCCTTTGTACCACTTATTGGAATAGCTAATATCGAGTTTCTTCCAAATGAGCTTCCGGATGTCAGGTATAATGAATTGCGGAAGTAGCATGATAAAACTTACCGAAACCGCAGCAGCTGAGGCCTCGACATTGCACTGGCCAATTTCTTGAGCGAGTTGATTCAGAAGTCGAACCAAGTCCTTTGTTGCTACAAGCGTTTCTGTATCCATCGTGGCCATCCAAACACGCCGAACAACAGCTTTCCCTATCCAACCCACGTTACCATGCGGTAACAACTTCTTGGTGATCAACTCTTCCATCAAGCTCTTTGCCAACCGAGGACCCCTGGGATGTAGTTCGCCAATACGATGTAGGAGAAGTCCGAGTCCCGCATCCGTGAGGGTGTATGATCGAATCATACGTCGTAGAATACTTGCGCATGAATCGATATCGAAAATCTCGTCAGGATACCGGTGGATAATTTCAAGTTTCCAATGAAGCACAATTGGCTTGTCTCCAATCTCGGCTTCCATTTGTAACGTAATCCCATCGGCTTCCTCTAAATTTTCTTGTGAACCCGTAGCGAGCAGTGTCTGTATTAGCTCGTGATAGATAGACATGCGAAGTTCCAGCCCTTCCTTCGAGAGCCTCTCCAGACCTTGACTGTTGACAAGGTCGAGTGCTCGTCGTAACCATTTCAAAGCCATGCCATGGTCGTCCCTGGACAAAAGTTCGCTTCCGATACACTGAAATGTATCAGCCAACCTTTCAGCAGATGATGGGTCGATAAGGTGTAAGAGATCATCCGCCTTTGTGTACATGTGCTCGGCAACATCCAGACAACCTTGCTTCCATGACTTAATAAGTTAGCGGGGCGTTGACAGCATACCACCCTGGACTTACCAAAGCGCATCGCATCGCAAAGTATTCCGCTTCAATCTTTTGGATCTGTGCCGTATCTTCTGTTGTTGTATGCTTTGACTTCTTTAGTCGGCCAATATAATCGGCAGCCTTGGTCATGCTCAAAAGTGCGCCATCGAGATCGGAAGATTCCACGCAAACTCTAGCCAGTGTAAGTGACATCCCCATCATGCCTAACAGTATTTCCACGAGGTCTTGTTCTTCGTCATTACGTGTGTCACGCGCCAAGGCGTGGATAAGGAAAGCCAGAACACGGGCGCGGACTTGCAGCAGCATCCTCGACGACGACGACAAGATTTCATCTCTCTTCCTCCTACCTTTGATACACTCGTTCCATAATTCCCTCGCAACTTCCCTCAATGATCTCGAAATCTCACGCGTTGGTAACGTTCGCTGCTCGACCAAAGCATTGACTGAAGATATGTGGTGATTTACATCGGAGAGAAGAACATCATTGGAGCTGGAATCGTGGGAGTTTGGTAATCTAGAAAGAAGATCTGTCACAAACTCTGCCCAAGCATCCCCAGTCAGTAGACTATAACCACCCCTGAAAATGCTATCCTTACCTGCAATCCCTTCGAGCTTCTTGATTTGACCAACGGTCAATATGCTAGCCGGCGTCATGTTGGGTTCAAATAGGGGCAAAGCAAGTGCTTCTTAACCAAGTACAAGAACCCAGACAAAGGGTTTGAAAGAGTGAAATTGTTGGTTCACTATTGCCACCGAGTTGAGAATTTTGTGCAAAACACATTGGATGTCAGTAAGGGCAGGAGCGCTGCGGACGTTCCTTCCATTCAACACCACTGCCTACTGCCTACCCCTCTCACCAGACCAGGCCGCAAAAAGGGGCCTGGGGCAGCATGAGCAACGCGAACCTCTTTTAAACACAACATCATGTATCTTTAGGTCTGACAATGAAATGATATCATACTCCAAGTGTTGGTTTCTGTCTAGTGCAGCAAATGAATATACATACATACGCTTCCAGTTAATGCGTATCCGTGCGCCGATCCCTATTCTGACGGGTTTCTTTCTTTTTTTTTTTTTT